AAGACAGGATCCTACTATCCTCCTTCTGATAAACTCATCCAAGGACATGTTTCTGTCATCTGTTCAGTACGAACATTGAAGTATATCCCTCATTTTATGGTGAATATTTGATACAGATTCAAGGCATATTTATGTCATCCCTAGTTCGTAAAGCCTGATGAATCAGAGGGGGGTTGGCCCCCCAAACAGTCAAACATTGTTCTTGAAGTAGAACACCCCAAAGAAATCCAACGACATCAGAACTCTGCTTGGTGGCTTAACCCCTCTAATATATATATATATATCAGTTGGGATCATCACCAAATTCGCTTGAAAATAAAAGCACATATTTGAAAGCACCAAGACACAGGTGGTGTTTTAAACAAGAAAAACATAGCATATTTCCGTCATCTCAATTGATGTCATCATGTTCCCATGATCCACCATCATCAACCAAGTCCTGCCTGCTGACAATTGGGTTCGCTCCCCACGGTCATCACGACAGCAACGGAAGCGCGTCGCTGGGAAGTTTCGTTGACTCAACGATGACAACATGCAACCAAATCAAACATGCCCAGATGCGGTTCACATATGCACAAGAGTTGCACAGATCATAGGTCTTAAACATCAAGTGTTGATATTTTTTTCTACAGGTTTGGTCTTTGTGACATTATGGTATAAGCAGAGGCGTTGTCAGCCACACCCTGCGGCGGTCATTCAAAATCAAATGAACCAATTTTGGAGAAAGGACAGTTTTCACTGTATGTATACCCACGATTACCCACGTCTATCTTGACATACGCACGTCCAATCTTGACATGAGACTGCCAAGTATGCCGGTACAGCTTGCTTTTTGGCATGCTTTGCGGGCTGTCTTGCAAGATTCATCCGATGAAGGAAGTATCGCTGATGTTTGATCATTTTTTTCACGCGCGGTCACACGCAGAAACACTTGATGACATACATCGAATGGAATGTATCTCCATCTTCAGGAAACCAGACCTTCCTTCAAAAGAACAGCCAATGACAGCCATATACGTATATCAAAATATCTCATCACTGGAAATCACCTTAATCATCCTTAATTACTCCATCTTTTCAGGACCCATGGAAACATGTTCTCGCTTTCCAGCGCCATCACTCGTGCGGATCAGCCGTACAGCTTAGCGGCTTAGCGGCGCGCTTCATTCTCCGCCAGCGTTGGCAGATGTTGGAATTCACCGAGGACGTAGCACCAGCCTCCGCATCAACGCCTGAGGATCAGAAAACCAAAATATGTTCGACGTTTCTTTGAGATGCTTTGAGGTTATACCTGGTTCTACAAAGTACTACTGCGTTCTGCAAACAGTTGGGTGAATGACCAGAAGATGCGGTTCACTAGGCCTTTGAAACATCTTTTGCTTCACACCTGAGGCCAGCGCCTGGGTATCGCGGGCTCCAAGCTCGAGCATCATGCCGTCCACGACTCAAGGAGTTCATCGCGAAAAAGCTTCGTGATCTGATCCAAGCGACGTCACCAGGTAGGTTTGGGATGGTTCTTGCCATATAAACAATTGTTTTCTATAAAATCACCTGGCTGGAAGGAAGAAAATGGTTTATGGTGAGCCTTGTCCCCCTCCATTTTACAGAAGGAAAAAGGATCATAGATCCTTTGAGTGACCGCGTGAAAGAGGAACCAGAAGACAAAACCACTCATCCGCTCTGTTTGAATGTAAGCAAATGCATGATTTATTGGTAATCATTGTGCTGATACGCATTGTTCTGATACGTTTTTCAACAAGGAACTCCAGGTATCTTATTAGTGAATTCAACAAAAGTGAATGCACATTGTCATGCATTTCACCTTTAGACAAACAGTATGATATACTATCCAGTCTTGAGACAAGACTTAACACACACTGACGATCATTTTCATGAATCAAAACAAACAACATAAATTCCATTTTGCATGATACAACGCAAAATAGACCCTGCAGCAAATTCACACACACACATTGCAATTTGCAATTCCGCAGTTATAAACAATGTTCTGAGCAAACTATGGATTCCATGTGGGTATGGGTCAAAATTAGGTACCCCAATAATTGGATGGTTAATACTACACTAGACATTCACATCTGTGGTCCCACATCGGTCTTCCTATTCGGACAGCCAATCCCCCGCCCGCAGCCTGGACACAGACGCACCGCGGCTTACGCTTTCGCTTCTCACGGGATCAACAAATCCATGACCTGGTTATGGCTGGTTGACTGATGCTTTGCGACTAGTTCAACTATGGCATCTATGGCATCTATGGCTATAGATGAATTATAGTTTAGATGGGTTTGGAATGGTTAATGCAGAAAAAATAGCCCAAGTGATAAATTGGTAGATACCTGGATCTTCAAAAAAATCGTGCCCGTTTGAGGATCCAGGTACCTCCAGCTGGTGGAATCCTTGGGTATCACCTTCCAGCTGGGATCATCTTCCCATCTTTAGCCATGAACATTTGGAAAAAAGAACGCACAAAGGATATACCGTATAAACGACCAATGAGAAGATATCAATCATGTTTGGTTCTGTTGTGGCTTATCAAAATCATCTCATTAGTTAGTAATCCCACTACCAGTATTTATCATAATTTATGTTATTGTCATTGTGGTTTCAGATCCCAAGCCCTAAAACAAAAACATTAAAAAAAAGGTCTGGATAAAGGCATCATTTAGTTTTTACTTAACCCATATGGTGAGCCTCCAAAAGGCTGAAAAGCTTCGGCCCCCAACAAACTCACAGCGGCCTCAAATTTGAGCAGCGGCAGCAGTTTGCCTCTCCTGCCCGAGAGGTCAGGGGATAATCAGAAATGGTTGAGTTCTACATATTTCTTTGATAGGTTTTGAAGCATTCCATGATATTCCCATCATGTTTCTTTGCTTGGATAAAGACTTAGCCAACAACAAATTGATTATACGTCAAAAAAGAACATGGCAGCAGGACATGCCCTACGCCTAAAACAGAATCATCGACAACCGTAGTTTTTGGTAAATTGGTAAAATAAAATTACATAAATTGACATAACATCCAGACATACCGTTGTAGGTTGCAGGAGATAGCCAACAATATGAGAAAATATGAAAGAACTATAGAACCATATGTTTTCAGACATGAACCAATAAGCATCCGACGATGAGTGACCAACACCACAGAATCACTGCGACTATAATTAACTAGATACGTAACATCCACTATTTGTAGATCATATGATGATCATATCATCATATCCGATGATAACCAATGTTTTATAATTTTATACCACACATTGCAACCACAATCCTATGTAACCACAATCCTGTGAAGATCACATCCTATTATAACTTAGAACCAATAATCCTATGGTAACCACAATCTTCTTTTGGGTGGGAAAGATATCGCTTTCAAAGCCTAAGAAACCAAATTGGAATGTGGATATCATCTCCGACAGCCGATGTCATCCTGTATGTTCGTTGAGCCACAGTTTTTTTTTACTCCAAAACTGAAGTTGAATGATTCTTCAGAACCCCACATAACCACATATTCCAATCCAATCAACTATTACATATTTCGATCCATCAAATGTCCGCAGCTGGCTGCAACCAGGCGCTGTTTCACATGTTTCATGGTGTTGTGATTGGCCGTCTCGTGCAAATGCACCACCGCCGGAGCCAACGCTGCCTGAAATCCGGTGAACGCTGCTGGAGGGGACTAATTGATCCCCTCGGTATGGTCCAAATATGTGTACATCCTCCTACTAAACCATGGTTTCTGGAAGGTGTTTTAAGATTTGGGGGATGATGGGGGATGGGATCATTTTCTGGCTACATTCCTGGTTAAAAGACAGATATATACAATTATACATATATTCATATATTTATATAGTAATTTCCACCATAAAAATTGAAAAGTGTATTATTGTGTATTATTAGTGTGATTATCTGAGGAGGATTTTACCTATCTTTTTGGGGATTACTATATATATATATGGCTATGGCTATGAGTCAAAACTCTGGGACACTACCCTAAAATAGCTGGTTAAGTGGATGTTCATTCCCCATCATTCCCCCATAAATAGCTTTTGACCCCCAAATTCATCTCCACGAGTTGACCTATCAAATTGGTACAGATAAACTATGATAAAATATGGTAATAATAGCTTTTGACCAAACCCAATATATGAACCCCCACATTATCATATCAATAAAAGATTATCATATCCCATGATGGTTATAGTTTCATATTAATAATAGAAAATTCATATCAACCTGGCCCATTGAAATAGTTGATTGACCCATTAAAAATGGTCATTTCCCATAGCTATCTGAAAAAATACCAGAGGGTACATATGATTTTTTCGATTTCGTGGCATGAAACGTCTGTCCTTGCTGCCTGTTGCAGATCAATTAGGAAGAGTCGACCAACCTCCTTGGTAGTCTGGTAGGGTACATATCAACCAAACAAAAAAACTGGTTGGTGGTTGAGCCAGCCCTCTGAAAAATGATGGAGTTCGTCAGTTGGGATTAATTATTCCCAATATATGGAAAGTCATAAAACATGTTCCAAACCACCAACCAGTATTATCAGCAGAATACCAGTGGTAACATTATATCTGAATCTATATTCTAATATGATCTAATTTTATATACCTTAGTAACCAGTAATACCACTACCAGTAGTAACACTATACAAAAAAAGCTAACCCGATATGGTAGTGTAATATAATATACTATAATCATATTCGTATACAATATCTATACAATGTGAGGCCCCCAAGATAGCTAAGTTGGTTTATAACTCCAATAACTATGGTTTATAGGTGATATATCTATAGTATCTATAGTTAATGGGGTTTATAAACCAATTTATAACTAGGGGGGCATCACATTGTACAATAATATATTGTAGTCTACCAGTAGTAACACTATACAATGACTATACAATCTTAGTCACCATAATTAACCATGATTAACCATCATTAACCATCATTATCCCATTAAAAAGCCATGTTCCAGTCACCACCACACACAAAAAGACCTTTTCGGCCCAGCTGCCGCATGGCGATTGTCTGTGTGATTCTCCGCCCCAACGTGGATGTGCACCACGCCGCCTTTGCCGCGACAGCGAGCAACGGAGTCCTCGGGGAGACAGGTGGAACAACCAGTTGGGGATAGTTGGGTGGATTGGTTGGGAAAAACATGGAAATTGATGATGATCATCTATATAATGTGAATAATATTATATATATATATTCTGTAATCTTCTATAATATTCTATAATATATATATATATGCATTCTAGAGTATATATAATCATATATATATATAATATTCTGGTTCTTTCGGGTTGAATGATATGATTCACTACCTTTGATTGTTGGATAGAGTTAGAAACTGGTAAATGGCGAGATGAATTCCCTATCATAGTTGATGGGTCGGATAGATTGGTCTATTAACTATAGATTATGCTTGGGGAATTAATTATAGGAAAAGAAACTGCTATAAACTGCTACTGTGGATGGGCCAGCGAAATCCTGCACCAGTTGATAGATGCTTTATTCCATTATATATATCTATTTATTGTGAATAATGGTTATTTATATCTATTCCAAATATTAGTTTTTCCATGGTTGTTGATAGCTGGTTTATATTTCAACCATTCTGAATTGGTGCAGGATTTCGCAACGGCCCATCCACAGGACAGGAGTTCCGTTGCGTTCTGCAGGATGATGAGGGATGATCAAGCCGCCTGCTTCGCAGGCGGCATTCGAATTCCAAGGCAATGTTAATAATATGGTTAATACATGGTTGATATATGGTTAATATATGGTTAATATATGGTTAATGATGGTTAATATATGGTTAATTTGATATATGGTTAATATATGGTTATATATAATGATGGTTGATATGAAGGATTTAAACAAGAAAGCCATATAGGGCTTAAATTCATGGTATCCTGGATGTATCTTTTCCAATCTTTCCCTAAACACACTTTCCGCTTTGTTTGTTTTGAAAACACAGTGTTCCCTGGACAAAAATCCTAGAAACTCACCCGCCCCAACCGTTAAACACGTCCTGAACCTGTCTCCGGAACTGTTGTCGCACTTCCTGTGTGCCAAAGGTGGGCCAGGTAAAGGCCTCAGGGGCTGAAATGGCCAAAAAATGGAACTGTTGAAGAAATTCATTACCCTCTGGTAAACGAACAGCTTGCTATAGAAAATCACCATTTTGAATAGGTAAATCAACTATAAATGGGATGTTTTCAATAGCTAACTCATGAATGTCTGTGTTTTTTCTCCAGTAACTGCTCAGACATGCACTAATATGGTTTTCTTGCGAAGCTTTTCTTACTTTTGATTCGTCAGATCTGCCAGCTTCCGCGAGAACACTTAGCATGAATTTCTGGTTCACACGGTCATCCATTGGTAAATCCTGGGTTTTATCGACAAAAAAAACATGGATTGATGACCATGGCACCAGATCCACTTGGGGACTGAAGGCATGAACTCGATCCACCAGATGGGCAAAGAGCAACGAGGCGGAACCTCGACGTGCGACACGTGCGACATGTGCCACGTGCGAAAAGTGCGGTGTCCCCAATATTGGTAAGTTGCTGGCAGCTTAACTGGCTTGGATTTGTGTTGAGGGCTGAAGAGAAATCAACTTGTAACTGTAGAGAATTACATTGTAGAAAGATATTTGGTTATGGCATGTTAAGATATGTTGTGGTATATTCCCCTAAAGTTTGGGACATAGACCCCAGACCTAGATGCAGCCATCTGAGGCTTGGGGGTGCAGTTCCACTAATAAATGGGTTGTATGGCATTATATAACCGTAGCTGTAGGGACTATATATCCCAACTATTCCAGAGTTTTGAATCCCAAAGTTCTACCCATTAATTACCCCAAACTGCACACACAAGTAAGTGATATTCCATTATATCCCCATGATATTCCCATGGCTATTCCATAAAATCAGCATTTTGGATACCAAAATCGTATGAACTCCACCCTGCTGGCCTCCCATGGAGCCGCCCCACGCAAAAACGCGACGGTACTTCGCAGTGATGCTGGAGATTTTCTGCTCAAAATACCTGAGATCGAGGGTTGATAGGGTTGGGTTTCAGGGAAATTCACTCGAAACCTCGTTTTCTTCACCATTGTCACCATTCAGTTAGATTTATGATCATTTTATTGAGACAAGGAAACCATGGATTTTGCCATCAAATCACCAACATATCGCTGGTTTCCAAATGAGATTTCCCCGTCAGCCAATTCTGGGATGGGACGTTGCAAAGCCGCCGCGTTGCGGATAGCTCCTAAAGAGTGAGCCGCCATGAAGCAATCAAATGGAACTGTTGAAGTCCCATCATCCATTTGTGCTCAGTCCCATTATACACTGTGCAGTCAGTCAAAAGAAATGAACATCCCATGGATAATCGTGGATACTGATGTGGATATCACTGATATCACTTTCAAAAAGTAGATCTTCATTGATATAATTTTCCCCAAAAATTTCCCCTTCCGCATGGCTGAACAATATCAACCTTCACCCAATTCACGACCTCCCGGGTTCTTGGTATCGCTTGGTTACTCTAGACCCTTCCAGTGGAAGGTGGGATCCTGCAAGAACCAGGCATTCGCTGGGTCGCAGACGTACAAGGCATCCACCTGTGATGACATGGGGCATGGCAGGTGAAGTCTAGTCGTGGCCGAGTCGTCACAGTTTTGGTCTTGCCGGAGTTGCAGAGTCGCCCCTCCCAATCCCAGCGGCCGGATACTACTGCTACTGCTACTACTACTGCTACTACTACTTTTACTACTACTTAAAGAGGTTTTGTAAACATAAGAGTAGGGAACACATACTGATGGTAAGACAACTCAATAATAATGATCCTGTGAAAAAATACACTCATCAGAACTGTAATGACTACTCGTGATATTGTTGCACAAATCATACAAGTAGCCAACATATAAGACCAAGACCAAAACCCAAAAGAACTGGGATAACAGCAAAATCAAGAAACTGAAATCAATAGATTGTTCTTGTTGGATCGCTTAGAACATTTAGTACCAGTATGTTTCCTGTGTGAATAGATATTATGTGATCGATGATTTGTTTTCAGGAAATATTATAATACATGCAATAGTGAATAGTGTCAGTAAACCATTCTGAAATATTATCATAGATTATCAATACTAATCCCACTATATTCCAGTAAATCCCAACGTGTTTTACAATGTGTAAGTTATCGACATTCAGTTGTTCGCTTTGGTTATCTCATGTGTCTAGTAAATTCCACATGTATTATTGTTGCATTAAAAAACTGGATAGCAAAATCCCATTACATATTCCATTGCACATCCCCATGATATATATATATATATAATATATATTCTGGTGATGTAATATGAGGGAAGATAATCATACTGATATACAGAAATAACATGCATATATATATGGTAATGTTTTATAAAGCATCCTGCTATATCCCTATCAAAATCCAGGAATTTACGACCGTCACACATCATACCCTTCATAATTAGACATATTATGCTAACTACCATATATATATATATTACACATCAACATGTTATTTGAAATGACTTCCCATGACCACACAAACAGACAATAAATTATGACCATTCTCAATCACATAAATATGCTCAAATTACCATGATCCGCTTAAAGAAGGTTTAATCTGATTATTTGTCAAATAATGAACAGCTACTTAAACATAATTACCAAGCTATGATTATGATCCGAATAATTATGATTAGTACCATTCTCATCCCCGACATATTCCAAATATGCATGTTTTTGTTTGTCATACCATATAGTTCTTACTCACTGATTACTCACTGACAATATAATGTATAATGTGCTAAAACCAATAATAAAACAATACCCAAGATAACCATGTTATGGGTAGTATACACCATATAGTTCAACAACTACATACTTCTTACAAATAGTGTACATCATAGAATATATATATACACATTAAAAAACAAAAAAACTATATCCTATAACATATAATATTTCCAAACCATGTCAAATAACACATAATAAATATATATATATATATACAATAAATATACCTATGCTACTGCTATGGGGATATAACATATGCTTAAGGCTTCGGACTCCCCACCGAACCCAACCGCCGCTGAACCGGGGCCTTCAGCATGGCATCGCGCAGTGCACGCACCTCTGCCTGCCCCTGCGCCACGGGCGCGCCCTGCGCTGAGAAGGTGATGACCAGCAGCTGCTGCACCTCGTCCTGAGAAGCGATTTCCATGGGGATTTCAGCAAAAAACATCAAGATTTATTTGTGAATGTAACTGGATATATACATAAATTGATCATATCTGTGTGTATATATATATGTCATTTCTTTATATTTATTATCATATGAATGTCAAGTGATAGATGATAGTTGAGATATGCATCTATCATCATACAATAAGGATTGCACCAGCAAACACATGTTGGGGTGATTTATAGTTGACACGTATTTAGATTAATGTGTATGTCGGACTAAGTGGTAGCCAAAAACCAAAGGGGTAAACAATATGGGGACTTTTATGGGGATTTAACCGTCAGAAATATAACTTCGACCAGACGTAAAAAAAGGTTTGTCGGATATATATATATATATATTGATAATGTTTAAAACACTTTCGCTGAAATGCTACACTGATTTTTTTTTTAATATGACAATAAATAAATAAATTTCACGATATGGGAATACATAACATGGGGTGACACACCATCAAACATATGGCGATATCTCTGATTTGATTCTAGCTGTATTTCGGAATATGATGGGATACGTATGGATACGTGGGTTCTTAGCCAAACAAATGAGATGTAATTGTGGTTTAATGGTATCAATCAATATACCATATATATATGGATATTAGAAAGATACAATGAGATCTAATGAATCCAGTGATATGATGGGATTAATATATGGGTGTGAAATAGTTTTAGGTTTTTTTTTTTGAGCAGGTTTCGGATTTTTTTTTGGATTTCTTGGCTGGTACCATTTGCCTAGTGTTTGCAACGGTTTGGAACTTGAATTTGTCATTTTGCATGGTATTTGCCACATTTGGGCATGTTCACCTTCCATTTTGCATGGGATTTACTACATGTGGGCATGTTCACCTTCCATTTTGTATGGTATTTGCCACATTTTGGCATGTTCACCTTCCATTTTGCATGGGATGTTCTACATGTGAGCATGTTCGCCCAAATATTTACAGATGCGGAAGCTTGGGATTAGATAAAAAGCGGGTGGGGGGGATTGAGGGAGGGCGCTAGCTATCTATCCAGCTAGCTAGCTATCTAGCTATCTAGCTAGCTATCTATCTAGCAAGCTAGCTATCTATCTAGCAAGCTATCTATCTATCTAGCTATCTATCTACCTATCTAGCTAGCTATCTTGCTAGCTATCTATCTACCTATCTAGCTATCTAGCTAACTATCTATCTAGCTATCTAGCTATCTAGCTTTCTATCTATCTAGCTATCTATCTATCTAGCCATCCAGCTGTCTATCCAGCTATCTAGCTATCGAGCTATCTAGCTAACTATCTATCTAGCTATCTAGCTATCTAGCTTTCTATCTATCTAGCTATCTATCTATCTAGCCATCCAGCTGTCTATCCAGCTATCTAGCTATCGAGCTATCTATCTAGCTATCTATCTAGCTAACTATCTACCTATCTATTTAGCTATCTATCTATCTATCTATCTATCTATCTATCTAGCTATCTATCTAGCTACCTCTTTATCTATCTAGCTAGCTATCTATCTATCTAGCTATCTATCTAGCCATCTATCTATCTAGCTATCTATCTAGCCATCTATCTATCGAGGTATCTAGCTATCTATCTCTCTAGCTATCTATCTATCTAGCTGGCTATCTATCTATCTAGCTATCTATCTACTCTCTATCTATCTATCTATCTATCTATCTATCTATCTATCTATCTATCACATGTAATCCTGTCAGCTTTCCAGAGAAGGTTAGTTCGCAAAAACCAACTAATGTAACTTGGGTTTAAGTTTAAATTAAAAAAAGCGGGAGGGGGGGATTGGGGGGAGGGCGCAGCGCCTCCCCCCAAAGCAGAATGCAAGCACCTCTTCTCACATGTTACGTTGCTAGTTTTCAAGAGAAGGTTGGTCATGTGATACTCAGGGATGTAAATACTGTGCAAAATGCATCTTACATGAAAATCAAGTATTTAAAGCAAGCAAAGCAAAAAATCAAAGCAGAGCAGCAAAACAGCAGAGAAGCAAAGAAACAGGAAACGCACAAAAGCAAAACAGCAGAAAGGCAAAAAAGCAGGAAAAGCAGAAAAGCAGAGAAGCAGGAAAAGCAGGAAAAGCAGAGAAGCAAAGAAACAGGAAAAACAGAAAAGCAAAAAAGCAGAAAAGCAGAGAAGCAGAGAATCAGGAGAAGCAGAAAAGCAAAAAAGCAGGAAAGCAGAGAAGCAGAGAAGCAGAAAAGCAAAAAAGCAGAAAAGTAGAGAAGCAGGAAAAGCAGGAAAAGCAGGAAAAGCAGGAAAAGCAGGAAAAGCAGGAAAGCAGAGAAGCAGGAACAGCAGGAAAAGCAGAGAAGCAGGAATCCAAAAATATTTCCTAAACCTGATCAAAAAAAAATCCTAAAATAATTAGCCCTCCTTAATATATATATATATATAATTATATATATATATGTATATGCATTCTATCATGCAATAAGGATGATCTATTATGATTATTCCATATATATATATACATGATCCTTTATTCCGAGGACTTGACATCCCCATGTTTGCTGGGGGAATGTTCTGCGCAGCTGATGGAGAAATATAGATAGTAACTAGTCTTAAACTACAAAAACCATGAATCACCAATAAGGTCTCTTCCCAGTCTTCCATACTGGCTCAAGATGGGACCAACTCACTTCAAGCATCTGAAACCAGTCGATCCCAATGCAGATCTGTGGTTGTCAGGGCCTCTGTGAGAACTTCGTCTGCAGCGGCTATACCCAAATTCCAACCTAACCCGTAGCTCGCATGCAGGGAGTGAAAGTCAATCTGCTGCAGTGGGATCTTGTTGCAACCCAAACCGACCTGAAGAGTCGGGTCGAGAAACCACCAAAACAAGCTCAACCTGTCAGAATATGTTGCGTCCAAACGAAAACACACGTAAACAATTAAAAAAACGCAGACCCCCCAATCGATGAGCGTGCCCAAAAAATGGAGGGGCATCTTGGCTCATCGATTAGGGGGGCTCAGGTTCAGTTCCAAAATCCAGCTGCGATCTTCAGTCTGGGAAGCGTGTTCAGAGTCTTGATGATGTGCACATCAGTCAACTCCTAGGGGAAACTGAGAGTTGGTTTCATCAGCAAAGTTTGGAGCAACAACAAGAAAGATGGGTGGCATAATTCATCAGTTAATAGCAGTACTGTATCAATTATATACTATCAACGCTCATCTAGATCCAAAAGACATGCCAGAGTCAGCATATGTTTCACGTCCCCAACATAGCGAACTGGAAAATGGCCCCCAAAAAAGATGACGACTTACCGAGCAAAAATGCTAATCAATGCCGTAGAGAGTGTTAGTACGATGATCCCATCCAAAGCATCCAGACAAGAAAGCACTTTTTCGGTTTTTCATGCTGCTGAACGTAACGAAAAAAAACAAAAAACACCGCTTTTCATCAACGTGTTCAAAAACTGGGTGATCCAAAACCAAAGAACAAAATCCTCCAAATCATCCATCCGGCAATCAAACGTGGCGACATCGGCCGATTCATAGATGATGTTTACTAAAACCTCTATTTATGGAGATGTCCCATTGTCAATGGCCATTCCAGGAACCCAAATTGGAGGTACCTACCATATATAAGAGAATAGGAAGGCCTATGTAAGAGAATATCCCCACAAATACGGTACCTCTATTTTAGGATCCTGACATTCCCATTGACATTGCTATGTCTGATTACCGGAGGGTATGTAAACCACTCAATCCAAAAATATATCCAAGACACAAAATCCAATAATATTGAAACATCAACACCCACAATCAAGCAAAAAAACAACTCCCTTCAAACCACATCAAACAAGCAACAATATCCCAAATAATCCAGAAAATCCAAGTTCTGACAGCACAATGAATCCAAAAACACAAAACAGAACATAAAAGCTATGTGTTCCTCCCAACATCAACAAGTCAACATATAAAACACCAAATATAAAACGCCGGATAAATTGTGAAAATTCAACCACCTGAAGAGTTCAGCCATTGATCGTTTTACCACAATCCGATTTCCATTCCTCTTACGTCAAGACGTGAAGTCTCATTGGATAATCTATCCAGATATATTGATATCCCATTGTATCTATAGCATTATAGTCCATCACCATTTTATTCCCAGATGAATCACCATTTTGTGGGCAATTCTCTCTTCAGATGATATCCATCAATATCCGATTACATCAACTGATATCCCCCTGAAAGATCCCAAAATTCCACTTTTGAATGGTGATTGCAGCATCTATTTGACCACTATCATCCAATGGGTTCTTATCAATCCGAATATCTTGAATATAATGATCCCATATAGCCCCCGAACATGGAATCCATGAAATCACCATGAAATCACCATGAAATCACCATGAAAGCCTGATCTTCACATCCCAGCTGCAAGCCAGTTCTATCACGTTATATCCCAATGAAAAATGATCCCAAAAATCCAAGGAATCTCACTCTTGGATTCAGTGATTAATAGCATCATCTATGAGTCTATGAGATATACACCCAAATGGTTGGTTAATGGGATTGATTATGATTGCCTTTACCATGGCTTGCCTAATTTACCACATTAGATATCCCAGTAATTATACTGCAATCTTCCATCAATCTCCCCTTATATCCAAGTCTATCCCTATGCCCGGTTATATTACCAAAATGTTAATCTCCTCGATAGATCTAAACTTAATGGAAATTCACAGGAAACCCCCCCTCATAGTTCATGGGAAAAACATGGGAAAAACCATGGTTTCCTCTAGACTTTAATCAAGATCAGTGATCTTCACATCCCAGCATCATTGCCATGCGCAAAGAACCAGTTCAACTTCTGCAGCTTCCCCATGGACTGCGGAAGCTCCAGTAGCCGATTGTGGTGCAGCTCCAGGATCGCCAAGGAGTGTAGCTCCCCGAGCTCCTCCTAGGTGCGGATTGAATCATTCACCACATCTGTGGCCCTGGCTACCCTCTAGTAATGCAAAACATAGCGCTATGTCAAGTGACCAGTTTATGAACGTTTGATAGATGATTTAATTACCTAATCATCTAAAAATTGGGAGATCTTCAATTCTTCAATGTTCATCATTTAACTATTTAACTAAATTTGGGAGATCTTCAATTTTCATCAAACAACCGCCCTTGTTTCTTCCGTCCCAGCATCCGGCAGCTGCCGCAGCTGGTTTCCGTGCAACCAGAGCTGCTGCAGCGAGGGCAACGCTTGGGCGATCTCCGCCGGGACCTCCAAAAGGCGATTTCCGGCCAGGCTGAGGTCGCGCAGATGGCGTAAGGAAAAGTCCTGGGCGCGGCAGCGTAGAAAAGATATGGCAGTGTGTCAAAACCCTGGTAATAGCTGGTAAATGGATGTTCATTCCCCTAACAATGGTATTAATAGGTATTGACCCATCCCCATATGATGATCAGTAGAAAACCAGTAGTTTAGTATGGAAAAACCATACCTATAGTTATTCTGTAGTTTATATATTACAACCAACAGTTTCGTATATGGAAAACAATATGTATAGTTGATATCATCTTAACTTATTTTCTAAACAACATATGGAGCATTGTGTGGAGTAGTTTTGAGGTGATCCATCTATTGTCATTCGAATTTCAGGGGTCAAAGATCTGTTCACTGCCCTCAAATACCTCAAATATATTGCTGGTTGGTGGTTGAGCCAGCCCTCTGAAAAATATGAGTTCGTCAGTTGGGATGATGACATTCCCAATATATGGAAAGTCATAAAATTCATGTTCCCAACCACCAACCAGATTGGGTAGATTCTCTCGCCAGTTTTGAGGCTCACATTGAGTGGTGGAAGAATTGGTGCCAGGGACTGGGCTGATTTTTGAAGGGATCTCTTAAAGAGATCGTCGCAGGCAGCCTATCCGGTTTTAGTTGTGTTGTTGTCTCCTACCATCCAAGGAAAAAACAAATCCTGTGGTAGATGTTCTCTTTCATCGATTGTAGGAAGCCACACATATTTGGTCATGTTAGACGTATTCAGCTACCACATTTAGGGTCTTATAACCCAGGTCCCCAACTTCAAAGCCCACAGATTGAGTGACAGTGACAATTTGCCTTCTTGGAGTGAGGCATATAAGACCCTAAAGAGCGACCTGCCTGCAGGTGGCTGTAATTTGAATACGGGAGGGGCTAAGATACATGCAGCCGCTGGGCCGCTGGGCTGCTGGGAACATGGAAGTTGTCTCAGGCTTTTTCGATTGGGCCAACCCATCTCTGCCAAAAAAACATCATATATAGCCGGTTGGTGGTTGAGCCATGTAAAAATAAACTGATCATGTACCTTATATACTTGTTCTTACGGTAATAATATGTAAGTCGGTGAACGTTTTTTTTTTTGAGTCGTGCAGTGCTGAGCGACGCTCTGCCGTGATAAACTGATTTTTGGGCTCAAGCGGATGGTCCCAGGTTCTGACATCGTCAAGGCATTCATCGAAGTGATCTGGTTGTGAGCCAAATCCAACCTGCGTTGCGATGTCTGATGAAGGCTCGGCCAGGGGCGGCTTGGCAAGCCAGTCAGTTGAAGATGAATTGTTCTACTGGTTGCAACAAAATATGTAGTTGAGTCTCAGTTAGAAAAAGATGCGATGCAACACATGTTCCTTCAAATGTCATAAGGCTGGGGCCCCGCAAGTAGGAAAATAAAGCAAGACGAACTATATACAGACTTCAATAAATTCAACTTCAACCGAACCTTGTAGGTTTTTAGAGGACTCTGCGACTCCCTGCGATGACCATCACAAAAAAATCACGACTACCGAAGAACAGTCTCAAAGATCGAAGTGCTTCTGCCACCGAAGGATCTTTTAGATCCGGCAACTTGAACAGTCCTGCGCGGGAAAGCATTTGTCAAGAGCACCTTATGTCAACATCAGTTCAACATACGTTCAGGATTGTCATTGTCACCCCAAATCAGATAGAGTGTCTTCCAAAAAAGAATCCGCATTTATTAATGATCTAAATGCCGTTCTTGTCCGTTCTTGTTACAACTTTGGGTCCAAAGTTTTGAACATCAACCCAGTCATCTTTTCTTCAGCTCAGGTTCCGTTGTTGGCCCAGAAGACGGTGTTCAAATTGGCGGGAACCCCTTTGGATCCCAAGAGCATCTTGGGAAAGGTCGCTGCTTGGCAGCCCCGCGCGCGCAGAATGGAGAGCTTCGGGATCAGAAGTGGCTCATCCAAGGAGAAGGGCCTTGGTGATAGAACTGCAAGGGCAGTTTTAGCATGGAAACAAATCACCTAAAGGATCTTAAAGGGTATATGTCACATACAGTAACTTTCACGGAAAAAAAAGCATATACCTATAGAGACTTGGAGGGTAAATGTCACATAACTCTCAATGGATGGATGTATATAGATGGATTTAAGGCAAAAGTTCGACAGGAAACCATGGTTTTTACCAGCAGATGAAAGGGTTTCAACATGTTTCAAGCCATCCAAATTGGAATTTTCTGTAGTCAACTTTGATCAACATCCAGTTTTCATCCATTTCTTGGGGATGCAAAGTGGAAAGCATCAAACAAACACGATCCGGACCCTGGAAGTCCCCCTCGAAATTCTAGGACCAATGAAATCATGGGACTTGGAGGGTCAACAGGTCATCAATATTGTAACTCATAATGAAAAATGACTAACTAGTAGTAAATCATAATACTGATTAACAAATAGTAACATATTTACATTACTAATTAAATAGTTAATCAATAGTAAATGATTACTAACACTGGTCTTTTTCTAATTCATAATGAACATGACTAACTAGTAGTTGCAACCACTATCAATCATTGATCAGTCTTTCCATTCATCTATCTATCGACCTATCCGATCTATCTGGGTAAATTATGGTAAATGATCATATTTCACTAACCTGAACAACGGCCTTCTTCTTGCACGTTGATTGATGGGTTCCGATGGGTTCCCCTGGGTCGTGCAGATCCCAGTGGCACTTCCTGTTCATCCAGCCCCAGTTGTAGCAATCGTTTGGAGATGGCATACACGGCAGATGGCAACTTCACCAATCGGTTCCGTTCCAGGCACAGCACCTCAAATGGCCGCCCTGTTTTTTGCAGGGAAAGATGATGAGACACCTCAATAAAACATCAAATTGGGGGAGTTTTCACAACATGCTCAAACAAACCCACATGAAAGAGGGGGTGGAACATAGCTAGAGCATGTTGCTTTTGTTTGGTTCTGTTCAGGGGCTTTTTTTAACTGCAACTACATCCATGGTGACACCCTCCAACTTGGAAGTAACCCCCACCTGCAATTTGGAGAGATTGCAGAAGCTCTCCGGCAAGTCCGACAGGCAGTTGCCCGTCAAATACAGTTCCCGCAATGTCTGCAGTTGGCCAAAACTGCTGGGAAGTTCTGTCAAACCTGGGCGGTTTTAGAGTTTCACAACCAAACCTGCGATGGGGAGGGTGTGGGCTTCAAAAACAAGGCAGCTGGACCAAGGTGTATATCATTAGGATTTACATGGATTTACATCTGAAAGATAGCAAGACTTTAAAACACAATCATCAGTCCTTTTAACATGTCCCTAAAAAAATAAACCATAACTCAGTGTCCACCTGGTTTAATTAAGCCAGTGCAAGGGATATCTTTTAACCATTATGTCATTATGTCCAAAACCATGATCAATGAGGCATTTGCTCTGCTTGAAGTAATGATCCAAACTATGTTGACAACCACCATCTCGAGTAGCGGCGTAGCGTCTTGTAAACTGACAGTTCGATGTGGAAAACCCATCATTAATATAGCTAATTTATGCTAATTTTCCGAACGGGCAACCATGGTTGTTTTCCACATCTTTTTGTATGGTAAAAGTTTGTTCACATTGAGTAACTTCAAACCTTCAAAGACCTTTCGAATCAACCGTGGGTCTTCATCCACCACCAGCTTTGGCCAAGTGACCGTTGCGCCTTAATGTCATCACCTCCAGCACTTCCAATCCACTAAGGACACCCAATTCGTCCTTCGGAAATCCTTGGGCCCAGGGAAAGTCGGATGTTATTTGTTAGGGAAGATATGACCAAAACATGTCCCAAACCTATTTCTATATTATTCTATATGATTTGATTGTTTTGTTGGTCATACATGGTTTTACTCCCATTTCTATCCATTGATTTGATTTTTGTTCTTGGTTTATAAGTTATACTCCACCATCTCCACAATGGTGAATCCTCCGATTTGGGCCTATGTCAAGCCATTGGGGACCACTGAATCCAGAGATTTTTGCACTTTCACGCATCAACATATCCATTTTGGGGGTCCAATCATCTTTGGATATGTAACCACATTGAACCAAATGTGAACCACATGTGAACCAAATCTAGGCAAATCTACCCATGCATGGATGGTAGTGGAGATTCATGTTGAATCGTTCTTGAAGATTTGCGGCCTCCAATATTGCAACGGCTAGGACAAGGACAAACGGATTAGAAAACACAAGGATCCAATATTGCACGTTTGCCCTGCAAGTTCGATCCATAAGTTAATAGATCCAAGTGATTCCAAGTGATTCGATTTACCTGTTGTTTTCAAGGGGTTTCTAAACAACCCCTCTAGCCAACCAATGGAAATTTGGGACATCTATGATTTTCAAGATATTCCAAGTGTCCATCTAATTTTTGCAGTTTGGGACATCTATGATTCCAAGTGTCCATCCAATTGTCCATCCAATTTGGGACATATATTCCCATCTGCAAAAATTATTCCAAGTGTCCATCCAATTTTTGCAGATCCAAGTTCAACCACCTCAACTTCTGCATCTCCCACGCCACGCAGGCCACGCAGGCTTCGCCGGTTGCGGTGGCGCTGGCCACCCAGGCGACAGCCTCGAGGAAGCGCCGGTGATGGCGCTGGAAGTCGTGGCAATGCTCGGTGGCACCCAGGTGGATCAACTTACCCAGGGCTAAACCTCGGCTGAACCAATGGGTTTACGTGGTTTATCTATGGTTTATCTATGGTTTATCCATGGTTTATCCATGTTTTATCCATGGTTTATCCATGTTTTATCCATGGTTTATCCATGTTTTATCCATGGTTTATCCATGTTTTATCCATGGTTTATTAATTTATCCCATTCTTCATAGATTTTCCATGATATTTATAGGGTTTAGCAGGGTTTCAACCATCCGAAAAATGGGGAGCTGGTTTCAATAGGTTTCTTCCACAGTAGCACAACAGAAATGGCAAGTTTCAGGGGAAATTCACTTGATTTCACCAAGAGAAATGGGGAGTAGTGGATATAGTAGTGGGGTGAAATAGTGTTTAACAAGGGATATAAATGTGGAACATACTGTTTTGGGGAATGACGATTGGGGAGGTCCGGGAGGTCTGATGGAATATAAATGTATACACAGTGTGTATATAACGTAGCATGATATCGTATGGAAGGACTGAATTTCAAAATATAATTACATATATATATATATATATAAAATTGAATGTCAATAAATGTGCGAATATATGGGGAGGAATGACTTGGGGAGGCCTGATACAGTGATATGATGGACTGGATCCTTTGTACATGTGTATGCAACTATATATATATATATAACAATATCTTTGTGAACATGGATATCTGAAATCATATTTGACCATAATATTCACATATCAATATCTAAAACATGTGTACATATATAACATGAAACTGTTGACATTAGTAATGATAACAAGTACAATACAATATAAACATATACGGGTATGTTTTTTTGTACTTATCAACAACATAATATGTAGCTAGTGCTCGGGGATTTAATGATGTTGGGATGTTTTGAATTTTTGAATGTTCAAAAAATGTGGAAATGGAACAATAGTTGATTGTTCGAAATCGTGACTGAGGTTTAGAGGCGTTCATCTGCGTTTACACAAGTGCACCCATATTGCACTTACTGTAAGTCATCATGGTCTCTGATAAATTGGAGAGTTGTAATGTGATGACTAATGATGACTCCAATATCAAAAAACACAAATCAATCAGCCCAAACTCTTGCCGAACATTCACAACTGTCATCGCAAACAATCAGTGAACTTTAGCTTGTCGTGAATGGACCTTCATACCTCCAAAATCCTCCAAAAACGTGGTCTGGACTAAAGTTTTCACCAACATCCATTTGAAATAGATCTCAAACAACTCAAACTCCAACAAATCAAATGGGAAAACTCACTATAAATGGCCATTTTCAATAGCTTTTTGTATGTTTACCAAAGGGTATGCCCCAAACATCTCCCCAATCTGTCCATCAAACGGCCATCTCGATCTCCCAAGGCACAGCAGTCGGCACTCTCCGCACCGTGCAGCTCCTCCTCGTTGCTCCGCACCCGTCGCAGCAGCTCCAACGCCGTCGTGGCGTCGCCCAGCGCCCGGGAGGCCTCGGCCTCGAGGGCCAGCGCGGCGATCAACGCGTGGCCCGTGGCGCCCACAGAAGCGGCACGACATTTCTCCCGCGCCAGGTGAAAGTCCTGGAAGCACAATAGGAATCCTATACCCATAGGATCCATGAATGCTATATATGGTAACATTTACCATCAATATACCCCCAATGTTAGCATATATACCAGCACCATGGATCATATGGGATAGTGAATATCCCAATTATTTCACTATAGATTCCTATTGTTGGGGGTAACACAAAATTTTGTGGTCGACAACAATAGGAATCTATAGTGAAATAATTGGGATATCGGATTCACAGTAACAACCAACAAGAATAAGGAGTTTGTTGAGGATATACCGTAAGTGATATTTTACTGAAAGAGGTTAAATCATCCTAAGTAAATCGGCCATGGTTTCCGTAGCTATGTGAAAATACTAGAGGGTGCTGGGGATGATGATAGAAAGACATTGTTTAAATTTAAGAAATGGTATATACAATTATATATATATATATATTATATATATTACTCGCATATAAATAATGGAATTTAAAACAAAAAAATGATGTGGGTGATTTTGATGGGTTGAATGTTGGGTGTTGGGTGATGTTGTTGTTTTAGGATGTTTTAGGATGATTCAGATATTTTGCCCAAAAAAAAGGAGGGAATGGAGGATGATGACATAAACATTGGGGATGATGGGAAAGTTATGCCATAGACAAGTTGGGGATATAATCCAATATGGCGATATCATAGGATTGATAAGAAACAAAATACCCTCTGGTAAACATACACAAAGCTATTGAAAATTGCAATTTATAGTTGATTGTCCCATTAAAAATGGTGATTTTCCATAGTTATGTTAGTTTACCAGAGGGTAATGTTGGTGTTTGCAAGCAGGTCAAACCATGGCTAATCAAACTATGAAACAACCATTTCTAATTGTTAAACTCTCGACTCTCGAAATGGGTTTGTCTCTAAATAGAAGTAGCCTGGCCATTCAAATGGGGAACATATGACAAAACCCGACAAATGGTAATTCGACCGAAAAAATGCGCGGATTGGATGATGCCACAAGACATGGGAAACCCATCAAACACGGAACAATGTGTGTGATTAGACCCAGAATGCTTTGATCCCCACAAGCTTTGTGCAACAACAAAAAAACCCTTTAGTGTTGCTTCAACTCCCCAATGGTTCATGTCGAATTCAGATATCAAATATCCCCTTCTTCAAGTTTCCCATATGTTCAACGGGATTCCCATCGTCCCCCATTCCATCCGCCCTGTCCTTGGCGTTCATGGCACTTCTTCCCTGGCTCAACTGGTAGGATCTTCTCGCCTCGTCATCCTGCAGCAGCGCCTCCAAGTTCTCCTCGTCGCCGACTTCGTCGCTGCTGCCGGCGGCGCGGTGGAGGTACTTGGCGGCGTCCAGCAGGCTGGGCTCGTCGTAGAAGAGCGACAGGGGGAGAACCACACCTGGGGATGGATCCACGTCGGTTAGAGCCCTCCAAACACACCACCAAACATGGTAAAAGGATGTAAAAGGGATGAAAATTCAGGGGTGAAACGCCATTTTAGTAGGTACTTGGAGGTCGGGATCTATAGTTATGAAACATGAGACCATATACATACATGATGGGTATATGGTGAGGACACATGATGAGTGGAGGGGATGATTCTAGTTAAGGTCTGAGAAATCTGGAATTTTTTTGAGGTCCGATCTTTTTGGAAGACGAAGACATTGGGGGTGAACAGGGTAATTACATGTGAGAAGTTGATTTGCACAACTGGAAGGAGTCTGGAGATTGGGACTCAATGGCTGGGCTGGCTTTTGAGGTTTGAACATGTTCTGAAGGTATAGTGATATAGAAGGCGGTCGAGTTTATTGGGTGAATCATCATATGGGGGTTGTCCAAAATACCTTTTCCCGGACAGCCCTCAATCGCTCAGCCAATCGCGTAGCAACCGCGGTACCACAGTGAGCAATCGCGGAAGGGTTTGTTCTTCGTTGATCAGGTCATATACATAAAATATAAGTTATGTATTATATAATGAGGATCCATGCGTGAACGCATTCGATTTCAAATTTGGGAACAAAATAAGCTCGCGCGGTCCGGAAACGGTCCGGAAAACTCACAGTAGTACCAGCAGCAGTAGTACTAGTAGTACTAGTACTAGTAGTACTAGTAGTAGTAGTAGTAGTACTAGTCGTAGTAGTAGTAGTAGTAGTAGTAGGAGGGGTAAGAGTAGGAGTAGGAATAGGAGAAGGAGTTCTAGTAGCAGGGCAAGGGAAGAAAGGGAGAGGGAGGGAAAGAGAGAAAGAGAGAGAGAGAGAGGGAGGGAGGGGGAAACAGATGGTTGCGTTTGACCGGTTTCTGACAGGTTTCTGACTGGTTTCTGACTCGTTTCTGACCCTTCAGCGGAACTCGTGTCAATTGGGTTTAAAAGCAAGAGCAGAAATTCCTAGGTGTACTAGTGGTAGTGGTGGTGCAGTAGCAGCGGGTGTGGTGGTAGTACTAAGAGTAGTAGCAAATCTAGTAGTGGGAGGAAGGATCCATGCGTGAACGCATTCGATTTCAAATTTGGAAGCAAAATAAGCTTGCGCGGTCCGGAAACGGTCCGGAAAACTCACAGTAGTACCAGCAGGACTAGCAGTAGCAGTAGCACTAGCAGTAGTGGTAGTGGAAATTGCAATAGGAGTAGGCGTAGGAGTTCTGATGGGAGGGTGAGGGAATAGGCAAGGGAGAGAGAGAGAGATTGCTTTTGGCCGGTTTCTGACGGGTTTCTGACTGGTTTCTGACTGGTTTCTGACTCGTTTCTGACCCTTCACACGAGTGCAATTGGATTTAAAAGCAAGAGCAGAAATTCCTAGGTGTACTAGTGGTAGTGGTGGTAGTGGTGGTGCAGGGTGGTGCAGTAGCAGCGGGTGTGGTGGTAGTGCTAGGGGTAGTAGCAAATCTAGTAATGAGAGTAAGGATCCATGCGTGAACGCATTCGATTTCAAATTTGGGAGCAAAATAAGCTTGTGCGGTCCGGAAACGGTCCGGAAAACTCACAGTGCACTAGCAGTCGCAGTAGCACTAGCAGTAGTGGTAGTGGAAATTGGAATAGGAGTAGGCGTAGGAGTTCTGGTAGGAGGGTGAGGAAATAGGCAAGGGAGAGAGAGAGAGAGAGGTTGCGTTTGGAGTAGGAGTAGGAGTAGAAGTAGGAGTAGGAGTAGGAGTAGTAGTAGGAGTAGTAGTAGTAGTAGTAGCAGTAGTAGCAGTAGCAGTAGTAGCAGTAGTAGTAGTAGCAGGAGTAGTAGTAGTAGTATTAGTAGTAGTAGTAGTATTAGTAGCAATGATAAGAGCTGAGGTGGATGGATGGATGGATGGATGATGCTAGGCAAGTGCTGCCTTTTTGGTGTTTCTGACCTGTTTCTGACCTGTTTCTGACCTGTTTTCAATTGGAGCTAGCTTGAATGTCCTTCTGACCTGAAAACATCTGCGCGGATTCCGCGCGCGCGGAATCCGCGCGGCCATGTCAATTATTGGCATGGTTCTGGTCTCGAAAGTAAAGTAGTAGTAGTCGTAGTCGTAGTAGTAGTCGTAGTAGTAGTCGTAGTAGTAGTAGTAGTAGTAGTAGTAGTAGTACTAGTACTAGTACTAGTACTAGTACTAGTACTAGTAGTAGTAGTCGTAGTCGTAGTCGTACTCGTAGTAGTACTAGTAGTAGTAGTAGTAGTAGAAGTAGTAATAGTAGTAATAGTAATAGTAAAGTAGCAATGATAAGAGCTGAGGTGGATGGATGGATGGATGGATGGATGGATGGATGCTAGGCAAGTGCTGCCTTTTTGGTGTTTCTGACCTGTTTCTGACCTGTTTCTGACCTGTTTTCTGACCTGTTTTCAATTGGAGCTGCTTGAATGTCCTGACCTGAAAACCCCTTGCGCGCGAATCCGCGCGGCCATGTCAATTATTGGCATGGTTATGGTCTCGAAAGTAGTAGTCGTAGTAGTAGTAGTAGTAGTAGTAGTAGTAGTCGTCGTCGTAGTAGTCGTAGTAGTCGTAGTAGTCGTAGTAGTAGTAGTAGTAGGTAGTAGTAGTAGTAGTAGTAGTACTAGCAGTAGTAGTAGTAGTAGTAGTAGTAGTAGTAGTACTAGTAGTAGTAGTAGTAGTAGTAGTAGGGTGGTAGCCCGTATAACCAACGCCAACCAATCGCTCAGCCTATCGCGATGCAGGTTTTAGCAATCGCGCAAAGCAAAGTAAACGCATCAATTCATAAATTTGTGACCTGCTTTTACGGACGGCTCCCATATGAACAAACAATCTGCTGGTCAGCTTTTTTAGGGGGGCATCGTAGAGATACGTGTTGAAATCACACACCGGCGCGCAATAGATAGGTACGCGTTGGTTCGGTTCATGCTATAGATGATATTGACACTTAGATGGTGAACACAAACCAAGTTATAACTGAGGGGAGGCTGCAAATTGCAGCCCCTCATATCCCATTAAGACCCCATTCAGAACCCACCAATGTTCCATTCCCACATCCCATTCACATCCAATATCCCAACAAAAACATCTCCCAGTCACATCCAATATCCCATTTTAACACATCCCATACGAAAAAAACCCGCCATTGGTTCGGTTTTTAAGGTCCAGTGGTCAGCTCCAAAAGACATCCCCTTGACCGCACCTGAGGCATCGCTCAGGCTGCTGTGCAACGACATGGAGGACATCGAGTCCAACCCCAGCTCCACGAAACTGTCACCTGGGCGTTGAGCAGGTGGCACCCTTCTTTGGGTTCTAAGCCAACTCATAGGGGCACCCTTCTTTGTAAAGTTCTTCTAGGAAACCAAAAAACAAACAAAAAAACATATTATTAGTTTAGTAGGGGCACCATATATATATATATATACCAATAGTGCCCCTATATTATTTTATATATTTTAATATATAGTCGTATAGATTCAGAATCTCTTCATCTGATGACGATGACGGAATGATGGGCTGCATCCGCGGAAACCGGTCAAGTCCTTTAGCTCATTGAAGGGATGCTATCACAAACCTCACTGTTTTCATGGTGAAACCTCAACTTATCTCAGTCACTCACTGAGTCAAGTCAATCAATCGCTGAGCTTGAATATAATTTCAAATCCCAATTATATCATTAAAAAAACATGTCAATTTCCATCAAATTCCAATTCAATAGTGAACTATGTTAAGATTTGATTGATGGAGAAATATGTTCCTGGGCCCATCGCTTGAGTCAAATGGCCCACTTTGAACATTGCTCGTCGGCTCGTTGATCATCTTACACCCCCAACTTTTGGATCAGTTCTTCTGTGCAACCATGCTAAACCCAGCATGGTTGGTGGTTGACCTACCCCTCTGAAAAATGATGGAGTGAAAGTCAATTGGGATGATGACATTCCCAATATCATGGGAAAGTCATAAAATTCCATGGTTCCAGTCACCACCAACCAGTGATTATTAACCATTATTAACCATTATTAACCATCATTATCCCATTAGAAAGCCATGTTCCAGTCACCACCGAGCAGCAGCGTATTTCAAGCATGTTAAGCCATGGTTTCAAGTCCAGGTGGCCCAGGTTGGCCTCCTTTCCCAAGACTTTCCGGACCGCCGCCTGGATCATTTCCACACAGCCGCTCACCGTGGCCGTGCTCGTTGCGGCACCAGAGGAGCCGCCTGGGGATGGTTCCAAAAAAAGCCGGAACGGGTGACCATGGTGACTACAAAGTATGGATCTTTTTTTTTAAGATTTATGAAATTTACAGCATGATTCTATATATATATATGTATGTTTTACTTATGTTGATTGAAAGAATGGTTCTGATATGTTCTGATGTTTTGATATGGTATTTACATTAATGGACACATTGTACAGAAAAGAATGGTTACCCAAAGATTGGAATGTGACTATCTATACTGCACAAATGCAGAAAATTGAACCAACAAGAATGGGAATGCAACTCTCATTAACGGGCATTTAAGTGATTGAACTAACAACATGCAGAGATTTGAACAACCCAAATCAAAACATAAGGCAAAACAAGTTTGGTCTCGGTCGAAACATTTCAGACCCAGGGGGACCACTGACCAATAAATCTGGGATACTCCGTGCAGGTGAAAACCTTGGCACAACTTGGTGAACATGTTGATCCCCACAATCATGTAGTATAATTACCCTCTGGTAAACATACAAAAAACTATTGAAGCCATGGCCATAGAAATAGTGGATTTACCCATGAAAATAGCATGGTGATTTTCCAGTTCGCTATGTTAAATTACCAGAGGGTATGTATTATAATTGGTTTCTGATCCATACTAACATCAAAGCATTCCTGGTCAGTGAAACATTTCCATTGTCAGTATAGTCCGATGGTTCCTCCGTCTTCGGTTCCACCTAACGCCCAAAAAAAACACCAGTTGCACCCAGCATCTTCCAACCATCCCACCACCAAACCCCACCTGTGAACATTTGAAATCAAGAAAAGACACAGATTTGGAAACTTCCAACCCCATTCAATCCATGAGAATCCCACCAAAAAAAATATAAAAAACAAACACATAACCCAGGCCACCTGTGAGCGCTTGAACTCTAGGATGTTGACCATCCACTCCCACCATGAGCACCGTAAAGCGCGGCGCTTGGAACCGCAGCACCGCCTCCAAGGCTTCGAGCCCCTGCTGCGGCGTCAAGGTCTTGAGCCCCAGCGCTGGCGCGTTGCTGGCCAGGGCGGGGAACGCTGCGGTGATGCCAACGTGGTCCCAGGCTGAAAGCCTAAAGGGATGGGGGAATGTAGGGGGGAAGTGGGGGCTACTCCAAAGTGGGATGGAAACAAGTTTTAAACATTTTTCAACCATTTTAAACCCAAATGGGTCATTTAATGCCCCAAGAAACGCCACGCAGCCGATCTCCAGCATCTTCCGCCGCGTGGCCGTCTGCGCCGCTTCCTTCGTGCAAAGCGCCTCCAGCGCCCGCGCCTTGGCGCTGTAGACGCCCAGCTGTGGCGCCCCGGCGATGCTGACGGCGCTGGAGGCGAAGAGCACGGGCACACGGCGAAACGGAGTGGTGGAGGTCACGTCCTGCGGAGACCCGAGGGGGGGATAGGGAAAGGGTTGATGTACACCAAAGATGGGGAAACCGTAAGAAACAAGTTACCGTTTGATGAGGTGGACAAATCTGTAGGTAGATGGGTGAACATAAACCAACTTCGCAACAACTTATTGCTGGGGAGGGCAGTTTTTTGGGGTAAACTTGTGTTTCTTTTATGTTCTTTTTGGGAAAGCTTGGGGAGTGATTCTAAAGATGGTTTCCGAGGGATTTGGGGACAAGGGCTAAAATGGCCAAGTTGGACGATCCGGTTAAAGTTGACATCTTGGTTGTGATTTTGATGCTATATATGGGATATATGTTTGGATTATGTGCATATATTATACATAATGATGTATATATATATGGGATGAATTGGTTGCACCGTGATTTAATGAGAATTTCAGATCCTGGGCAGTTGGAAGTTGGAAGTGGTCGTGAGCCACTGCCAAGTTGGCCAAGATCATCAATGGAGTCCCCCAAAAATAGACATTTACAGCTTGAAAGCATCATCTTCCAATGTCCATTGAGCGATGAACATACCCTTATACATCCGTATACCATCCCATGAAATACTGTTTTTTTAGATATAAATAGCTATCCCTGTTTTGTATAGATTCTATAGAAGTTACTGTATATAGTATAAATCATAAACGTCCCAAGACACCTCGACCGCTGGACCCCGACTGAGTCCTTCAACACTTCAATGAAGTTTTCAGCTCCTCGTGACCATCAGCCATGGACTGAAGACCACAATCAATTACATTTTTTTGTAGACAGCCTAACTGTTAAACTGGTTTCTATATCTCAAAACATCAAATATGATAAACACAAAAAAAACATCGCTATGAAAATTCTAATGATGACAAAATACATGATAATCCAAGTAATTTACAACTGCATCCCGCCAGCCTCGCAACTTTTCTTGAGGTCCGTTCATGGCAGTCATGGCGTCCAGCTGCAAGACAGATTGAGGAGGCTCGAATGACCTGTCTGAGCACTTCAAAGATGTACCAATATCCTCTAAGTGCCTCAAAATCATGGGACAAAAGTACCAAAACTGGTGTAAGACACCATTTTTGCGGGTACTTGTTTCAGGCTCTAGAGTCTAGGTACGTGATGCTAAAAATGAGTAGACAGGGGACAGGCAAAATGATTTCGTATGGTTTGTTCGACAGGGCACTCGCATAAACAGGCGGCAAAGTCCAAGAAGTTCATGGCCGGGCAGTTCTTCAAAGCTGACCGGAGCTGCTGCTTCTTGGAAATGTCCGCAGAGATGTAAACGATCTCTGAGTTTCCTTGTGGTAGGCTCCATCGGTCAGCAACTTGCTGTGATTGATAAACAACTAACAATAACTATATAGTAAATAGTTATATATAGTTATACAGTTAGTAACAATACTGTACTAATAACAATCAATAACTATAATATATATATATATAGTTAATAACAATACTGTACTAATAACAATGTTGATTATTTAGTAAAAACATGCTGTGTATTGCTGTGCAATGTTTTCTTGTCTGCTTTTCTGTATGGAAAGGGTGAAGTAAATCACGTTTCCAGATTCCTTTACAAAGAGGGGCGCCCCAAATCATCCAAGTGATCATTTTAGTACTAGGCCCCAAGGTTTTGGGGATCCACCATCTTATATAAGAAACCACCAGATGGGTGCCAGTAAACATCTGCCATTTTGATATATTCGATATATATCTAGTGCTGAGTGTATTCTCAGGCTTGAGGTTTTGTGCCCAGATTGACATCCATCTTTCAGAAGCGGGGTTGTTTACCCTCTGGCACTCAAGCATGGCAATGGAAAATTCACCATTTATATAGATGATGATCGCACTAAAACCTATATTTCTAGGTGATTTCCCATTGCCATGTTTGATTAGCATAGGGTACAGTATTTACAAACACAAGTTGCCACTATATGAGTATCAAACATTATTGTTATATACAACACAGCCTTCTCTGTGCCAGAAATTTAGAGTTTGGAAGGAACAGATATAGCTGTAAAGTGCCTCACTCGCCATAGTGCATGTTCGCCGCAAGAAAAATACGCCCCTAAAAAACTCTAATATTCGCTGGTAATGGAACTATTGTTTTCTGTCTTATTCAAGGCATGATCCATATATGTCTTGTTGGTACGTCGGCCCCCCAAGTCTGACACTGACACAACCACCTCTGCCGGTAAATTTTCTGCACGTTTGTTGCTTCCATCCTCATTGCCGTTCACATCCCCATATGATCTTCTTGAGTCAGTTTAGGTACATCCCGACTAGCTGTTTCATTTCATGTCGTTTTGCATTCTTTGGTTGATTTGATCGGGATGCTTCGTTGCTGAAATCTGGATATGTTGTTCCTTAAGCCCCCGTATGTTCTTATTGAATCCCTACACATCCCCACATTTTGTCACTTCAATGCATCACTTTTCTTGGTTCTTCCACCATGTTTGGTGAACGCCCAAGATTTTCTTCCTTAAATCAGGTTTAATCCATATACATCCTCCATTCTGCTTGCTAAACTCACAAGGTGGTGCCGCAGTTAGTAGGTGGCTAACTAGGTTAACGATGGAGTTTATGATGGTTATAGCTATAGTTAGATGGAATTCTAAACCTACTTGGCTAAGTTTGTAAACTCCATCTCACTAAAACATGGATATATCCATCATAAATCCCCGTTCATCTACGTAGTTCTAAATCCAACTTATCTCAACTAGTTCCCATCTCCCCGTTCAAATCAATATAGATGACTCTCAGAAAAATACTTATAAGTTCTATGAAATCCATTTTAAAAGGGAAATGGATGCTTAAATCCCACTGAAATCACCATGAAAATCACCCGATTTTGCGCCCAACCGAGCCACCACGTCGCAGCGCCTCCAGGTGCCGCTGCACGGCGCTGCTTGGGCGCCGGCCCAGCAGCAGCAGCTGCTCGGCACCCAGGTGTTCGGCCCAGAGGGAGCCGATGCCTCCGAGGCCGCCGGCCAGGAGGATGCTCCTGGAAGGGGTCTGGTTGGGCCCCTGGTTGGTGACCCCTTTTTTTGGGCCATGGATGGGAAAAAAATGGTAAAAAATGGTGATTTTTACGAAAGATATGAAGATGTTTTACTGATTTGACCAGGTTTTAAAGATGACGAGATTGTTACTGATTTGGGAAAAACATCTGGTGATTTTGGGAACCAAAAAGTGATGGTGGAAATTGGAGTTCAGATGGGATTTTTGTCACTTGGAGTTACGATTCCACCCCCAAACATGGTGACCAGCAGTCCAGCAAAAAATGGAGCAGCAATCATGGGGACTTCACCCAAGCAGGGGGATCTCCAAACAGCAACTATTGTGACTTAACCAGCAAAAATGGGGATTTATAGTTGAATTCTGATGGCTAATATAGGTACTCCTGTGAACTACCCAACAAAACCCTCTGGGAATCATGGCTCGCTGGGAAATCCGCTTATACATGGGCATTTATAGATGGAAGAATCATGGATCGGTGGATTAAGTCCCTATGGTTGATGTCGAAATCCCCATTGACAGTCATTAAATCACTATAAAATCCCACTCATAGTCCACTATATCCCAAATCGCATTCAATTCCCATGAAATCCCATTATATTGTATGTAAATCCCTCAAATCCATATATCTACAGAGAAATTTCCCATGGCCCGTCCTGCACTGCTTCAACAACTGCAAGCGATTCTGCGGCGCCAGCGCCGCTGGACGGAGGCGTCTCAGTAAACGCACTCCATCAGCGTCCAGGAGGATTTCGGAGCTGTTGAGGTCTGAGCCTGGCATCAAATCCCTGGGGAATCTGTAAACATGTGGGAACTTCGCCTCTGCTCATCATGTAATTTCTATCATTTACAATATGGGAAATCTAGACTGGAAATCTAGAGTGTCATAGAAAACACAGCAATTTGTAGATCATGTTCCCACATGAAACTATAAAATGTCAATGTGGAATACTATTGTTTTACCCTCTGATCATGAAAATCAGTGATTTATGGATGACGTTGTTCAAATTCAAATGCCCATCTGAATCTAACCAGAAAGAGGACTTTGAACTACCGGAAATGCTGTGGAAACATGTAGAGTATAACACCTGGTCCTCATGGAAAATCATCGAGTAGTGATAATTAATTTATAGATTATGTTTCAAAATAAAAAATGCCCACTGAACAAGATTTCTAGCTATCAGAAATAAAGGACTCTTTAACCACCAGAAATGGCTAGGAACGGATATCTGCGTGTGGTTTCTGATGATTTTGTTCGGCGATATGTTGGATTGTTTGAATATACCACACATGACATTTTGACTGCTAGTTCTTTCCTTGGGTTGGAACAGATTGTCACTAAAATGGGATTGAACCACCAAACAATTGGGCATTTAACCAACAGAAATGATAACATCAATGATTGTAGCAGCCATAAATTGGAATTCTGCAGAAGATTGATTTACTTTGCGGCTTACGGTTTCTTGGAATTTTACTCCCAAAACTTCGGTGGTAGGAAATCAAACGGGCCATGTTTAGAGATCAGCCAGCAAAGATCTTACGAGAAAAAACATCGGGATTCTGGGAAAATCAAACGACCAGTGTGGATGGTTTCTTGGGATTTTGCTTCACCGGTTCTGAATTGTGTTTACTGGAGCAGTAGAGGAAGATTGTTCGGACCTATGATGTTTAATCCCTACGCTTGCTTGAATATCCCTACATGTCGGCTGAAGATTTAAACCGCATTAAGTTGACGTTTGAAATTCACCGTTTTGATGGCTGTTCACGGTTTTGACGCCTGACATCAAACACATGGCATTTCCCATGCCATTTCCGCTGGCCAATGCCAACGCCAAGTGGCTCATCTCCTGCAACAGCTGCTCCGCCAGCGTCGAAGCGCGCAGCTTGGGGCAGGCGTCCAGCTGACAGACCTTGAGCCACGGCATCTCCAGGGACGCGCTGAGCAGAACGCCTGTGGCCACGTTTTGGTACTGGATTGTGAAAAGTGGGGAGATTCCATACATATATATATATATATAGAATCTGTATGTATATCATTGTACAGTCCATATATATATATACAAACTTAGGTGGTTGATAGTCAATATATAACCCATATTTCATCCCATAGATGCACCCCCAGGTTGGGGTTGGGCTTGGGAGACGATTTCAATTGACAGAAAACTGCCGAGATAAGTTTGGTGATAAGTTGTAACCCCCATGACCTACACTTCTAAGATCTTATGCAGTAAGTATGACAAAGTCGAGTTATTGGAGCTATAAACCCTCAACAATTCGAACTTATGATATATACCCTGATAGTTATAGGAGTTACCATCCCATTTATACAGTAACAAAAACATGTTGAACTTGCCTTGGGAATAGTATTCGCCATGGGTCAATATTCACATTGTATGCGGAAAGAAATGGAAGGAAAACAAAGGAACTGTCCCTTTATACCTGGGCGCAGTTGGGTTCCAACCCACAAATCGAGTTGGGTTTGCCGGTTTGCCCGAAAATAGGGTACCCCCAAATCTATCCAAATCTATAGAATACTCAAAATGGCTAGGGTGTATAATTAGCCATTTTCAGACCCACAGTCACCATGTTTCACCATGTTTCACCATGTTTCACCATATTGCGTCACCCTCCACATCCACGGCATTCTCCGACATTGACCAAATTCCACCGGTCTCCTGACAGAAAGTGTTTCCGCGGATCCATCGCATCGCCAGCCACACGCCTGTGGCGTCCGGTTGAAACGCAGAGAAGTTTCAGCACCGGAACCTGCGCCGGTTTACGCGGCGGAGAAGGGATGCGCGTTTGGAGTGGGTTGGTTGCCTCACTTCGCACATCGAACAATTCGTCCTATATTGGGAAATATGTATTCTATATGTATTCTATAGAATCAGGATCCATGTTTTCAATAAATCAATCCGATCCAAAAACCTATATGAATCTCTTGGTGTAGGCATATATCTGATACCAAATATCACCGGTCCATTGCATCCCTTTAGGTTGTAGGGCCAATCCCTTTGACCAAACGGTATGCGATGCTAGGGATCATCACCGAAGCCTCCGAAGCCTCCGAAAATCCGCAGAAAGAAAGAAGCACAGAAAGAACACCAGATCCAGACATCCTTCTGACAGAAAAAAAAGAACAGCAAAATTCATAGCAACCAGAAAATGTCTGCCAAGAGAAATAGCTCACATAAAAAATCATAAAAACCAACTCATCAACTCACAAAAAATCTGAGCCTTCAAGTTCAAAGTGCTGTGTTTCCTCTCCCACGCTTGCAGTAGCTGGATCACACTTACCACCTCCTCTGTGCCGTGTGAGTCCTGGAGTCCACCAGCCACTTGAAAATTGTGGGGAAGGCAAGGAACTAGGTGGGTATGTCTGGAAATGGGGTATACCCCCAATTATAGCCATTTAGTAGGGATAATGATCATTAACCATTGGGTGTAGGGGTACACTATTTTCAGACAAACCCAGGTGGAAAATCAGCAGAGTTCCTTGGTCATTTCGGTACATTTTTCCCAGAACACTCACTAGAAATTCATCATTCGCCAAGTTTTGAGGTAGAATTTTTGCTACAATACCAAGCTCTTTCTGAGATTGCATGCAAGTAGTAACCATCAAGTGGTATTTCCTGTGGGACCCACTTAGATGGGGTAGTAAGTTGGTTTACTACTAAGTTCACTACGATTTGTTTACCAACTTACTATGGTTTACTAGTAATAAACTATGATTTACTTATAGTAACAAACCAAGTATAGTTGGTTCAATATACTATGGTTTACTCTGGTTTGCTCGGTACATAAACCGACTTATCACAAGAGGGGAGTTGGGGAGGCACATCATAAGTTACTAAATAACTGGACCCTTGAAAAAAGTTGAACCTGTGTCCAGTAGACAATTGTTTGTTCAAACAACTCTTGACAGCTACCATCTGGTTATGACTAACAGTTCGCCATGGAAAGATCCACCATGCTATTAAGAACGGTAAAACATCTATTTCGATTAGGGCCATCTATACCATGGCTATGTAAACCTCATAACCAGTTGGGGTATATATTCAAATAACCCATTGAAACACAGATGATCCTTGAAACCGCCATTTTTTGCCACCACTGTTGGATCCAATTTTCATGGAGGGTTTTTCGCGCAATCCGAGGACTTGGACAACTGGATCCAAGCTTCAACTGGATCCATTTTGCATCGGTCATCAAAGAAAGTTACAGGACTCTACAACATCAAAAATCACCATTGTTTGTTGCTTAAATCATTTAAATCCCATGAAAAATGCCATGAAAGGGTGGCCCAGGAGAACTCTATGATCTCGCATCTTCATTTTTGTCAGGTAGTCCAAAATGATTTCGGGCAGGTCGGTAGCAATTAGTGGGCTTGGGAATAAAATTGTGGTCCTTGCCAGACTGCAAATTCCCCAAACTCTTTCAAAGCAATGAAAACGCAACCTCTACCATTCTATAAGGCCAACATATATACTATTCAATTCATATGGAGGTTTCCTAAAATTGGGGTACCTCCAAATGATCCATTTTCGATTAGGATTTTCCCTTAGAAACCATCGATTTATGGAAACACCGCTCCTCGCATTGCAGCAAGTGCAGCACCATCAGCTCAAGTCCCTGGTGGAGGACTTGATTCTCAGGGCTTCTCTGGGAAAATCATCTGTCAATGGGACTATACAAGATAGTATATAATATCAATGGTGATTTAGTCGCCAGTAAAACTTATCAAACACAAATATCACAACAAGTATAGTAGTATATAATCAAATATCTGGTTGGTGGTTGTTCGTCACCCCTCTGAAAAATGATTGACGAATCGTCAGTTGGGATGATGACATTCCCAACTGAATGGACAATAAAATACATGTTCCAAACCACCAACTGGATATGTTTTTTTTTGGGGGATAGGGTGGGAAAATCATCTAGACATGAGGATATCATTTGGATTTCATGACAATTTAGGGGGACTTCATACTGGGATATACATGGATTTGGGCGAGTCTGAAAATAGCTGGTAGATCTTCCCCAAATAGCAAATTTCATTTTTGGGACCTCATGTTTGACCAGCTTTTCTCTATTTTCAAACAAACCCAATCGCATGAATCCCATGGTTTAAACATGTTCAAACCCAAAATCTCCTTGCAAGTGTGGATATGAGGTATCTGACTCGAAAAATAGATAGCAAGCGGCATACAACAAAAACATGAGTATTGATTTTGCCATTACTGCACTGTATTTACCATTTGGGCTTGGCTTTCCTCAGCCACCCAGACCAATAATCATCATCTTAATCTGTCAAATGAGGTGGACCATCCTGCAAATTTCTTCCCTCCACCTCAAAACTGTGGCAATTCAACACTGGATGGGGACTTGAAACCCATACAATCCATGTCTTTGCAGCAAGATGACAAACCTATGTCTGGCATTCTGATGCATTCTGTAGCTGATGTTTGGATACTTTTGAGCTGCAAATGCACAGAATTCTGTCAAACTCGGATGATCTTTGTTTTTGTTCTCAGCAAAGACCATTCTGGAGGTCAACTTAAGAATGGAAGGTCATGGGTGACAAATTTCTGCTGCAAATGCTCATCCAGGATGAGCACTGCCCCACGATTGTCGAAATCTCCGCAATAATTTGAAGCAATGAACACGTCCAGCAAACGATCTTCGTGGGATTTGTAACCCTCTTGCAGGACTCGTGTTGAACAGCAAATCTTCTCCTGGTTGGTTCAAGTCATTCCCAAGTTCCGAATTGAATCTGATGAATCTTCATCATCTAACTACACAGACATATATATATATATATATGTTGGCATGACAACTGAAATACAAAGCACTAATGAAATCGGCAACCAGTCTCCAAGTTATTCTGTCTCAGAAACGTGTCTAACACATCAGGCCCGTAAATCAGTTCGATGGCTTTATCTAGGTCTGCCCAGCCAGTCACATCCGCATCGAAATAGGCCCAGAGCAAGTCGCAAACGAGGCCGGCATCCTTGGAATTGCTGCAGAAGCACCCAACAGAAATCATTTGAAAGTTAAACACAAACAAAATCATACAAATAAACAAACATAATGGACATAAATGGACACAGTATGTTCAACCGATGCCTTATTTTGGGTGGATTCTCTTGAGGAGCTGAACTTTTTGGGGCCCTCTGGCCAAGCCTCTGGCACATCCACAGGCCGTTGGATCTGCAGAAGATCTTTTGGACGCTGCAAATTGGGCGACAGCCCCGAGGGAACGCAGAAGATGCGCTCCTGGATCAGGGCACCGAAAGGTAACGAGTTGAAGACCTTCACAAAATCTTTCCAGATCCTCACATTGAACTTTCCTGGGCAGCACAGAAGGCTGCACCAAAAAGGGCTGCTGTAAAAGCACATGTTTAATCAGCGAGCTGATGTGAATTGCGTTTATTATGATTTGTGAATCTATCATCCCATATTTAGGGGATCAAGAAAAATAGGTTGAAACCACCAACCAGCTGCTCTTGCACTCATCGTAGAAACCATAGATCCTTGATATCTGGGCACTTTCGTGTTGCCCGCGGAGCAAGTGGATCTTTTCAGGATACTTTTTTTTGTACAGGAGCAACAGGGTGAAGGTATCTATAGATCTCTTCCCTCTACTGACGTAGCAGCCCAAAAAGAGATATTGTGATTCGGAAGGCTCACCGAAGGTATCGAAAAGGTAGTGCAATTGTGAAGCACATCCCATTACGTGCCCACCCATCACCAAAGGCGGTTGCAATTCCAATAAGGGTGGCTCTTTCAAGAAAATATCCTCTGAAAGAGCGCAAAGAATCCTGATGTCGTCTGCTTCTCTCATGCTCCCCTTGCCACGCAGTGTTTCAATGTGCATGTCAACATCTAGGCCTTTCAAAACAAGAGTGAGGGTCACGCTTCCTGAAACAAGGCCAAATTCCCTCAGTTTCCGCCGGTCAGGGCCAATGAACACCGTTTCTTCCGAGGAGAATTGCTGTATCTCAATCAGATGCCCAGAACGGCTTTTGATCTCACGCTTCAAGTCTAGCAAAGTGCTGTCAGGGGAAAGGCTCACCACCAGCGTTTCGCCGCTCAAAGTCAGCACAGTGATCTCAATGGACAAATTCTCAGCTGCTTCTGAAACAGCAGTAGCATCTGTTGACAAAGCAGCAGTAGCATCTGTTGGAGGTGTTTCCATGGCAGCTCAGCACAAGCTAAGGAAGACACTGGTCTGTAAAAAGAAGTTGATGCGCATTGATTTTCCACATCTTTAGATCACGATTTTTGTTGCTTAATCGGGTTGGCTCATGTGCATGAACAAAGTCTCAAAGGCTCTACGTCTCTCTGACGCCAAAATTGGAGCCCACAAGCTAGCGCGGCTTGCAGTAGATGGGGTTGAAACTAGATCACATAAGCTGATGTACTGTTAGTATCTGTTAGCAACTAGACTAAAGGATTGGGAGTAGGATGGGGTAGGCATCATTACAAAAATTTCTCGAAGCTCGATCTTTCCAAATCTTTTCGCTACAACTACTGTATCGTCATCACCTTCCTTTCGTCCTATTTCTCCACTACGTCACGCATCATTGAATCCGGCAGTGGACCTCCAAATGTTGATGGGCAACATCCACTGTTGCTATGTAGAACAAGTTTCCATGTGTGGTTGCTGAAATCCATATTGTTTTGGCAAGTCACCCCATGTGTGTTTGTCAAATCTCGGCAAATAATATACAGAATATATACAGTAGAAATCCCAAAATTGATATATGTACTTTCGGCAACTTCCACCTAATAAACAGCATTTTCTGGGGCGGAACATTTGTGGGTCAGGTCGCGAACGATATGCTGTTGGTCAAATCTCTGCGGTCTTGTCAAACAACCCTCCATTATGGTTGACTTAAAATCCAGACTCCATGATTCCATGATTTAGACGTTTTTGATGCCTAAATCCTAATTGTTGGATGAAACACAAAACATCTGAAATGGTTGTTTTTTGTCAAGTGACAACCGCATTCTCTATGGTAAAGCCCACCTTTTTCACAGGTAATTTCATGTAATTTCCTCAGTTTGTTTGGACAGGAAAACCTGAGTAATTGACAATGTTTTCATGATAACCTTCAGTATATGCCTAGTTTCTATGGTGAATTTCCCCTGTTTTTCTTGACAAAACCAAGTAGTTCAAGAAAGTCTCCCCAAAAAAAGTGAGAAGTTGCACCAAATTTCTCTCCAAATTTGTCGACAAATGGATCTCCAAATTGGTCATTTCCGCCATGGGAGAAAACCTGGGCGCCTCCGTCTCCGTCTGCATCACCGCCACCGCCGCCTCCGTCGACTCCACCGCGCGCAGTGTCACGTCGCCGAAGTCCGCACGGCCCGAGGCGGCGCGAAGGATCTGGCGGCGGAAGCAGCGAAGATGTGAGAATTTCCATGGGAAAAAACGGGGAAAACCCGAAATCTTGGGATTTGCTTGGGGAATTCGTGTGGGATTTCCATTCCAATTGACTGGAAATGGGAAAAATACAAAGGGAATTGACACTGGTGGTTTAAATTGTTGAAAATCAATGTGACTTAACCATCAACAAATCAACAATGGTAATTGAATGGGATTGTGGAACAAATGGTGATTTGTTGATTGCTATGATTTAAGTGATTTAACCAGACCAGTTGGATGTTTTTCATGACTTTCGCGGGAAAACCATATGAGTTGTGTTGGCGGATACCATGAGAAAGTGGTGATGTGATCAATGGCCCAATGGCTTCAACCATCGCCCTGGGGTATTGAACCAGTAGGAATCACTGGTTGGTGGTTTTTCGCCACCCCTCTGAAAAATGATGGAGTTCGTCAGTTGGGTTATGATGACATTCCCAATATGATGGGAAAGTCATAAAATTCCATGGTTCCAGTCACCACCAACCAGTGATTATTAACCATTATTAACCATCATTAACCATCATTAACCCATTAAAAAAAAAAACAATGTTCCAAAGCACCATGCAGTGACAGCCCAGAAAAATTGGCCGCCAAAAGGGTGAAATCATTGGGATTCTCCTCATGCGATCCACGTGAACACGCGCAATCCCTGCTCTGAAATAGGGCTATTAAAAAAAAAAAACTGAAATCACCATGATGCGTTCAAACATGTTCAAATATCTTGAAATGATCATTCCCAATCTCAATTGCAATAGAACTATCTTCCAAGCCACCGCTCTGTTTCATTGTTTTAGTCATACAAGTCACCCCTCTGTTTCTATCTTGACCCGCTGGTAATCAAACATGGCAATGGAAAATCCTGGAACATCCTTTATCGATCTCTATCGCTGTTTTCAAGCGAAAATCATCTACAAATTTATTAATTATCCTCTGGTTATTTAACATAGCCATGGAAAATCACCATTTTTAATAGGTAAACCATCTACAAATGGCAATTTTCCATGGCTATGTTAAATAACCAGATGGTAAATGGCAAACGTTTGGCCATCCGTGGCTCCCAACAGACCACCCTTCCGGATCCTACCGGTCCCGCCTGCGCTGAGAGATCTGAGCTGCCACCGATGATCAGCAGCAACCGCTTGGGCGAGTGGACCTTTGATGGGGACACTATGGGACACTGGTTCTGAATCATGACATTTTGGAAAACTGCAGCTACCTTATGTTCAAACCAAAACCACGTGGCTTTGCCCAAGAATGGGGAAGACTGCAAAGTGGGGCCCCCTAGATAGCTAAGTTGGTTTATAACTCCAATAACTATATGGTTTATGGTACTTCTAACTATAGTTATTGGGGCTTATAAACCAACTTGTAACTGGGGGGCCCCACATTGTGCAACTTCTGGCAATTTGGATGGGGGGTATTGATGATAGACCCCATGCTCTTTGAGATTAGTGATAAACCATGGGATGTGTTGATCTGATGGCATACCCTTTTTCAGACAAAGCCATGTAACTAATCATATCGGACGTCACCCAAGGAAAAACATTGTGAAGCGTTCCAGTTTCCCGGCTGCCAAGAAGAATGGCACATAATTATCCTGACATTATCGCGACTGTTTCACAGCGACTGTCCCTTTAGAAAGCAAATCCAAGAGACAACCTGACAACTCCTACATTTATATGGAGGTTTCCTGAAATGGGGGTACTCCCAAATCATCCGTTTTAATATGATTTTCCATGAAATAAACCATCCAGCTACTGGGGTACCCCCATTTTGGGAAACCCCCATGGAAGATGTTGTCCCACAGCCGTCCTCCTGACCTGCACCAAACCCAAACCAAGTTGGAGTTCACTGGGAGGGTATACCCTCCCCAATCTCAAATATCTCAATCAACCACACATTCATTAATCCGGCATGTACAACAAACTCCAGGTCCAACCGTGCCCCATGCCGAAGTTACATCAGGGTCTAGCGCTGCACCCTCCATACGTTCCTCAATAGCATCTTCATCTACTTCAACGTTCCTGGGCCAGTCTCGCCCAGTCTCGTTGTCGGGGTTTATGCGAAAATCTGCAGGACCCCAATGAAGTCTATCAGCCAATGAAGTCGGAAGGCTGTGGTTTCAACCCTTTTGAAGAAAGTCACTGATGATCCTTCCGGGTAAGATGTAAAACGGGAACTTCAATAGGAAAGCGCCCAGAAACCTGGTGTTGTGCTCGTTGAAAGAAGGTTTCTCTGGTGGAAATCAATAGGAATATCGCCCATTCATCTACACTTGGGATTGCCTGCAACTGACTCTGGACGTGATATGGCTTGCAAAGTTGATGTACTCACGGAAAGACACAGAGATTCAGGTTCAAACCACTGATTTTGGGACATTACGACTATCATTGCATGCAAACTATGGCTGCAACCACCGATCAATAGCAGCTGAAAGTCAAAATGGTTCAGTTACTTGAAGGTCCACTTGATTTGCGAGAAGTGCAAACACGATGCAAACCCAACAAACTAATACAAAGTATAAGTTGAGTATGTCCTAAAAACTGTGGGTACCATGGATTTTCCTCACTTCGGACATTGATCATCAATTTCCTTTTCTGTTGGATCACCACATTGTCGGAACGAAGACAATCTTCGACCTTGGCCTGATTTTCCCATCGATGAACTAGCCACTTTTGATGATAAACACTCAAAGTAGCTGCAGCAAACAATCCAGTGATCAAGTCGTTATAAATTGGCCACTTGGTGATTCATCATGATATGTTGTCTCCAGGGCAATGATAATCAATGATATGCAATTGCTGGATGCGACCCTTGATCATCCGTTCGCTTTCACCCAGTCCGTAATTGTTGATATCAAACCATCAAGTAGTGAAACAAATGTACCTCAAAATCATGCATCTTCAACTATTGTAAATTCAAACCACTTTGACATGACAAAAACACAGAACATTCGCGAAATCAACATTCTTATTGTTTGACGTCCTTTGTTGCGCCCTTGTACTATCAGAAGTACTTTGACCTTAGCCGCCTTAGCCGCCTTAGCCGCCTTAGCCTGAGCCCAGCCGCGAAGTCAACGCCTGCGCTTTGAAGTCTTCCTCAAAGACCCAGTCTGCTGGGAGAGGCGCGTCTTCAACTGGAGCGCCAGTGCCTAGCGGGTATCTCCAACAGATGACGGGAGATCCCATGGACAAACGAGATGGACTATTAATTAACTTGTTTGTGAATAATAACGTGGAATCATCATAATTTGTGTATATAGTGGTATTCACTTGCGTTAATGTCATTGTATAATAAAGATAACTTGATTACATAAATCATGGCATGTGTTCAAGTATATATATAATGGTGTAATATTGTGAGCTATTACTTGTTCACATAGTCGGAAATCCGAAGAATGCCACCCATCTCCAGAATATGAAACAATTTGCTCCCAACCCCGCAGATACAAGGGGAACACAATCATTATTGCCCCCTATCATTGTTTGCTGGAGCAACCCACTGATGAACATCATTGATCGATGGGGATCAAGAACCGTTGATCCCAAAAAGTTTCTCAGAATCTTTACCGGCACCAATTTTTTAAACGGATACAACTATATCATACATTCTCATACTATCTCAACAAAATAATCAAATGACCATTTATATTTGGTGGATCTTGAGATCCCGCAAAATAACCAACACATCATATCTACATCCCCATTTGTTTCTTACTTGCCAGCAATGCAGTCTGCTGGTGGGAAATCCCCCATTGAATCAGATCTATTTCATTCTATTTCTCTCTTTATCTGCAAATATCAGGTGAAATAGCAAGGAGAAATTAGATACTGCATTCGCTTCGAGACTTGGATGAAATAAAATGGGACCGTTTCACTTATAATTTCACCCAAAATCCAAAATATGGTGCAGTACCCGCAATGGATTTCCCGAAAACGTTGACATCTTCCTTCTTTCCAAAAAAAACAACATCCTTTTACAATCATTTTGGCCAGCACCAATAGATATTGTATTATTATGCATTAATATATTAATATATATATAATACTATGTCATAAACCTAGAAGTATCAACTGGGCCTCCCTTTCTGTACCCCTATCTATATCCCTTACAATCCCATAAAATGGTTGGTACACCTTCATTTCCATGGGCAAATTACAATTATATCCATTCCCCAATCAGAAATGAACCCAATCCCCAGATCCCAACCATCCTCTGTGGTGATGTCGTGGTAATGCCATCTCAAAACTGCTCTCTAGGACAACCAGGTACTATGAAAATCACTGAGAAGGGAGGTATATTCCATTTTCAGACATCTCAAGTTGGTTAGTTATGTCCCATCACATCCCATTACAACCCTACGTACTGATCTCCCACTATTTCATACTATTTCCCCATCATTTCTCCAGGTTTTCCACAGTTTTCAACCCAAAACTCCAATCCCTTCGACCCCTGCGCCTTCGACCCCGTGCAGCCACCCCTTCAGCACCTCCCGCCGCAGCGTGCCCTCGGCCGCCCGCGGTAGCGCCGCCGCAGGCAGCGGCACCCAGCGCTGGACGTGGAGGCCCAGCGACAAGGCCAGGTGGGCGGCGAGCGATTTCGCCAAGGCATCGCGGGAGCTGATGGTGCCATCCTGGATAGGGTTGGTGAAGATGAGAAACAGAAAACCCTTGGATGATGATGGATGATGGCTAATTACTTATAATCTAGCATTCTATGACTATAATCTATCTATGATGCTGTATGAAAACCATGTGTGTACGACATCGTCCATAGATGTTTCCTCAGCAGCCATTGCCACTCCGTCCGCACCTTCGGAACAAAGACGATCACCAGGCCCCCTCCGTCCCCCGCGGAACACGCCACGGTGGACCCAGGACAGACCAAGGGCGAGAGTTCCAGGGCGGTTTCCACTTCAGCAGAGCTGTACTCCACACCTGCAGGAGTCAGTTGCACTAAGCTTAGGGTTTACGGTGGATATAGCTTACATGTAGAGACATCAAGAGGTAGGTCCCCATTGAAGTATGCTTGCAGTCTATGTATAAATGACCATATGCCATCTTACGCCCAGCCGTTAATCGTAGTCAATCTACTGAAATAAACCAACTCAGCTGACGATTAACAAATTGAGGCATGGCAGGTGAGATGAGACCAACAAAAATTGCAAGGAACCCTCATGCACGATCCCCCACAAAAACCTAAGGATATAACCAACAAGAAGAGAGATTTCAAAAGGACAACTTGATGAAGTATCGCATGGATTCATCCCAAAGTATTGTATCCTATTTACCCACCAGGTCTACTGAGTCTACTGGAACTTTCATGAATGTTCTCTAATTTCCAGGGTTACCTTAATAAATCCCATGGGATCCATGTATGCTATATATATATATATATATGGTAACATGGATCCCATCAATATACCCCCTTTATGTTAGCATATAGACCAGCACCATGGATCCGTCATGGGAATTCATCCAGACTCTGTGCCGATTCCGGCGGCCTGAGATCCGTAGCCGCTCCTGTCGCAGGGCTCCTCCTCCCAAGGCCCTCCAGCCGAACGCGGCCAACGCGGCGCCCGGCAGAGCTTGGAGGCCACGGGCCATCAGCGGCCACTGACGCAGCTCAACGCCCGGTAAAGGCGAGGCAAACCTGGAAGTCGATCTAAGGCCAGACTTGGAGTGTCAAAACATATCAAAACATGTCAAAACGTAACGACTTAAAATGAGTTCAGTGTAAAAGACTGGGGTTTGAAGTGGCGAAACTCCGGACGGATATAAGATGATATATATATATATATATACATATATATATATAAGAATGTAAATAGTAGGAGCTACGTGAATGGGGTATGATATGATTCTATTCACGTACCAGGTGGGTCACGTTGCTCCAAAGTATATCAGGCAGCTACACCCACATGAACTAGCATGATGCCAAATATGATAACTGCACCGTAGCAAGGGTGTTTCAGTTTCTACGGAGCCTAAAGAAATCCTCTAGTTGATCATCATGTTCCCCCTTGAACTTGCCCTTCTCAGTGTAAAACCCATGTAAATCCCATGGTTTTCAGAGCCCAGACACAGATCCGAGCCCAGGGGTGCATAAGCTAAGCCAGCACCCCATGGTGCCACCAAGAGTTGGTGAAACTCCAGATCCTGCCCCGAGGATCATGAGAATTTCTAGAAAATGATGGCCTTTTCTCAAGTAGAAATACATTTTTGTTCACCGCCATGAACATCAGGAGGGCTTCATTGTTTCAATCCCTGCTCTATCTTTTTGGGCACTCCCAAAAAAGAGAGAATTGATAGAATATTGACAACAAATATGCTGAGAGGACTGGAGCTATATCTCTACCATCAGATTCAGAGCATCCAAGTAGTCCTTCAAGTATCCCTCAATGCAGCCACCAATCCATTCACTACAGCATGGTCCTGTTTTTGCTCCTCCTGGTGACTCAGCAAACTTCTGAGATCCTCCATCTGCCAGTCATCTTTACTCAGCAGCAGCCACCGGACTTTGCCCAAGGAATGGAAGGGCCGCCCCAACATTCGTCGATAGAAAATCAGTGGTGCAGCCACCACGAGCTCCCCAGCATGACGTCGGAGGCGGCGCAAGAAGTGCCAAGGTGCCATAGAACTGCCGGGCTCAAGACCTGCATGGCAGGGGTTGTAACATGTCGATCGGGGTCGCAACACCTCGGTAGGATGTAACCAGCTATATGATGTACATGTCATTACTATTATAACTTCAGGACACTTCAGGCATCATCCCAGTCCCAATACTTTTCTGGTTTCCTCCCCAAGCAAAGTCAGCAAAGGTCCCCCATCCATTGACAAAACCACAGCAAGCATCGAGAGAACCAACTCAAGGTGGGACAGCCTTGCCGGAGTTGAATTTATAAACAAGCGGCTAACCTTGATCCTAGTGAACATGTTCCCAACACAATAATTCTTGCCCTGCTCATATTCCAATCCCATACTTCAAACCCCCTGGAAACAAAGGACATCTGAACCCTCAACCCATGGGGTCCCTTAAGTGATCCAACAAGGCCGCGGATTTCCCCCGCACCTTGCTCTGATCCGCCTCCAGCGCGACCTCGAAGACCTGGAAGGTCGACATGAATCTCAAAGGCTGCATGAAACACTGCTGCGCAGTGCCACAGCAGGGTGAAGGGCGATATCGGCATCCAGCTCAAAGACTTCAAGGACGTCCCGTTCGGAACGCTGAAGTTTCTGAAGATCTGCTTCATACCCATGCTATTGGCCCAAATACCTGGACGTTTTGCTGGGAAGGTGATAGGTTGGACAGGTTGAAATATATGATAGGCATATAAGAATTATAAGATCTGGAAAGAAACAAATTGGATGATTTTTTGTTCTACTATGTTTCTATGGACTGAACTTTGCAAGTAATGTGGGAAACAACATAATAAACCAGCCTCAATTTCACAATAAATACAAGTAGGTGGTATAAACCATTCCCAGTCATGGGCGGTTCATTATTGTTTTAACATGTTTTAACCTCATTAGAAAATTTGCATGAATCAAAATGTTGAAGTTTGGAACAACTGACCAGCTACTGTCATGAGAGTAGCTGTAGAGTATCAGCTCGGATTTGTCATTCCTGGAGCCGCGCCACATCCAGCCCAGCTCATTGGGCATGGGTAGCAGCACTCATGTCCCGGACACCGTGATGGAAGCAACAACGGTAGGAACTTGATTCTGTGAACCAAGAGCATCATAGAAGCAGAATGTACCGTACATCAGGGTACCAAAAAGGTTCCTCAACACAAATGAGAAAGTTACGCTCACCAGACACTACATCTATACAATTTCCGGAGAATTGGAGTGGTTGAAATATACAAGCTGGTCATCCCTTGTACATTCAAATGAGGGATGAGGGTCTGTGTAACCATGGGTTATACAGGCAATGTATATATATATATGGCCATGGAAACCTATGATAAACAAACATTTGTTGGACCTATTTTCAGACGAACCCAGTCCCAGTAGTAGTATTCGCACATCATGAGTCGCAATGCGCTTCGAAAAGTAAAGGAACACTTCAAGTCAAACAGCTACAGATGTTTCATTCCTTTCCAGTGAATACTTCTACTTGGTACTTCAAAACAAATGTCAGAGTCACTGATGGTAGAAACTTTGGATCATCCACGTTATCTTGAAGACACAGTGTGTTTAAAGAAAAAAAAGTCTCAACAAACAGTGGTCCTCCTTCCCAATCGCATCTAGCATCACTGGTTGGTGGTTTCATCTTAGCGATAGAAGCAAAATTAATGTTCAAAACCACCCAGCAAATATGTACGAGGTATTCAAATATATATATATATATATATATATGGATGGATGGATGGATATATGGATGGATGGATGGATGGATGGATGGATGTATGGATGTATGGATGTAGGAAGGTATGCATGTATGTATGCATGAATGCATGTATGCATGCAATGCATTCAATGCATGTAATGCATGTAATGCAAGTAATGCATGTAATGCATGTAATGCATGTAATGCATGTAATGCATGTAATGCATGTAATGCGTGTAATGCGTGTAATGCATGTAATGCATGTAATGCGTGTAATGCATGTAATGCGTGTAATGCATGTAATGCATGGAATGCATGTAATGCATGTAATGGATGTAGTGTATGTAATGTATGTAATGTATGTACCGTATGTAATGGATGTAATGGATGTAATGGATGTAATGTCGGTAATGTCCTGTATGTATGTATGTCTGTATGTATGTATGTATGTCTGTATGTATGTATGTATGTATCTATGTATGTATGTATCTATGTATGTATGTATGTATGTATGTATGTGTATGTGTATGTATGTGTATGTATGTGTATGTATGTGTATGTATATGTATGTATATGTATGTATATGTATGTATATGTATGTATATGTATGTATATGTATGTATATGTATGTATATGTATGTATATGTATGTATATGTATGTATATGTCTGTATATGTATGTATATGTATGTATATGTATGTATATGTATGTATATGTATGTATATGTATGTATATGTATGTATATGTATGTATATGTATGTATATGTATGTATATGTATGTATGTATGTATGTATGTATGTATGTATGTATGTATGTATGTATGTATGTATGTATGTAATCAATGTATGTAATCAATGTATGTAATCAATGTATGTAATCAATGTATGTAATCAATGTATGTAATCAATGTATGTAATCAATGTATGTAATCAATGTATGTAATCAATGTATGTAATCAATGTATGTAATCAATGTATGTATGTATGTATGTATGTATGTATGTATGTATATAATTAATGTATGCATGTATGCATGCATGCATGTATATATATATATATACATTATTAAAATCATGTATGATAATGGATAATAGGGATTCCCAAAAAGGATTAAGATATTCCCCGAAATATTGGTGAGTAGTTCATCCCTGAACTAGATCATCAACCAGGGTTTACAGTCTTGCAGCCACTGCTCACTGCTAATGTATCCTGGAAAAGTGTTTTTTTCAATTGATTATATCTGTTATAGATCCCATTATACGATATTTCCATATTTTTCCTGGTAAACATCTTTTGTTTTATAGCCAATCTAATCCCTAAACGGAGGCCCAGCATCTCAGCCACCATCTGAAAGGCCACTTTCTTCGCCAACGGCGGCGAAGAAACGGCACGTGCTGCGTCCGGCGGCGCGTCCGCGTCCGGCGCCAGGTCCGCCAGGTCCACGCCGGTCGCGGAAAGGCGTGACCTGGCGCCATGGCCATGGAAAACCTTATGAAAAATATCCCTGTTGGAATTCTCCTGGATGAAATAATATGGCCATGGTTGTCCCATTCTTAGTGGAAATTCCAAGGGGGATTGAAAAATCACTTTTTTGGAGTTTATTTTGTGAGATCAGTGAAAATCTTATGAGAAATTAAAATATGTACAGATTGTAAAAGATTGTATATGATGGTGAAGATTGTATAGGTGTATAAGATCACTGAAAATCATCCTAATACTGTAATTGAGAGTGTATGAGGTGAATGTATAAAGAAGGGTGATATATGGTGACATATTTTTTTTCGAATCTTGTGTGCCGTGTTCCATTGTCAGGTTTGATTACCAGAATGTGCAGCTGAAAATACGGTATAGCATGGTATAGCTATAAGTAGTTTTGGAAGTAAGGCCACTTCAACCATGTCTTTTTTCGCAAACCAAGAATATGATAGTTCTTTAGATCATCTCGCTTATATGCGGATCCTAAATTAAATATGGGCGCAACCAGCAATCACTTGGTTTCTTGGTTTCGCTGCAGTCTCTATTCAATGTTCCTAATATGCTCCCCAATAAAATATGTGTTGGTAGCGGGTAACCGCGATGGCAATGGTCCATCATTCTGTTCCAAGTTTGGGGTGAGCATCTTGGGGGATCTACCCTATTTTCAGCCAGAACAGGGAGGCCAAACAGTCTATGGGGTCATAAGTTGCATCAGACCCTCCCTGAAGATTGGTACATCCACCAATTCCTGGAAAAAAACATAAATCTGTGTTAATCTGCGTGTATATATACCCATTATGTGGTAAACCCAATAATACACCTACCATTGGGGGATGATTGTTACCACCCGTTTATTGTGATCTTAGGGATGGTATGGGCTGGTTCATGGCGGTTGAATCCACACATCTATGTATGCAATGTACCTTCTTAATGTTGGTCAGAAAAAAAA